GCCCCGCCCTCGGCCCCGCCCCCGGCACGCGCGGCCCCGCGGGCGGGGTCAGGGCCGGCCGCATCACGTGACGGTGTCAAGATGGCGGCGCCGTGGCGCGGCCGCTGAGGGAGGCGCGTCCCTTCCGGGTGGTGTCGCGGGCCCGGTGCTCGTCCCGCTCCCGGCCCCGTCATGCAGCCACCGGCTCACGAGCAGGACGCCCGCACCAAGAGCATGTTCGTGTCGCGGGCGCTGGAGAAGATCCTGGCGGAGAAGGAGGCGAAGCGGCCCCCGCACGGGCAGCTGCGGACCGCCTGCCAGGTGGCGCTGGGTGAGTCGGCCCGGCCCGGCCCGGCCCGGCCCGCACGGGGCACGGCGGTGAAGGGGCCCGGCCCTCCGCACGTGTCCCCTCCGCCTGCCGTCCCGGGAGGTGCGGGAGAGCCTCTCGGGACCTTGGGGCGGAGGGAGAGCTCTCTCTCCAGTACAGGACGTGCAAATACGCGGGGAAAAACCCCAAATACCCGTTTTATTAAGTTCTGGTCTCGGTGTGAAACAGGAGGGACTTGGTTTTGAGAGCCACTTCGGTTTTGAGAAAATTAATTGTAACTTTTCGACTAGGAAACAAGAGTTTTTAAGTCCCGGAGCTTCTCGGGATGTCAGATATGACCTGATCTCCAGGTTGTGTTCGGACTGATTAAGGACTGTTAGCATTGTAACCAAGTGCCCGTATAATATCTGTGATGCTTTCAGAGCTGAAAGCGCTTTTTGTGAAATTTGTGGACTGCTCCTGAAATCTGCAAGTACAAGCTTATGCAAAGATCTCTGTGGTAAAAGTTCTGACAAAACGGTGTGTCACAGAGAGGGAGAAGATAAACCAAGTAGAACAGTAGAGCTCTGAAGCTGGAGTTCTCTCTGGCCCTTTCTTAATTTGCAAAAATGACATTTTCAGTTTTGGTTGCATCCCATCAATATTTTCCTTGGAATTGGGAACATTTAGTGTATGCAAGACAGAAAAAAGACAGGTTGGGTATGTAAGGAGGCTGGGCAGGTGCAGGTCTGGCCTGGACAGAGTGAGCTTAAAGAAATGCTGTCATTTTTATCTTCCTCCCAGCAGTCTTTACTGCCAGGAGATCTGTAGGAGCTCTCTGTAGTGACAGTATATCCAGAGAAGGGTAACCAGACAGAAGAGTATTTGAATTATTACTTGAAGTTGGCATTGTGAGCAGCAGAGCAACACATATGCCCCAGCAGCTAGGGTCTGTTTTTCCTAATGAGTTCCTTTTCCTGATCTCCTCCCCAGCTGCCCCCACACGCACTGAACCCACGTACAGGGCAGAGAACCTGTTTTGCTGCTATATAAACATATTTAGAGGCTGAGAAGGGGAACTTCCTTCTCAGGTGCCTGGTGAAGGTCTGTGTTTGCTGAGGCACTGCAGACGATGATTTTGAGAGGAGTGTTGTGCAATGGCCCCTGTTGGCACCTGCCACTGGGGCTGTGGCTGTGCCTGCATGTTCTGAGGTTGTGTGTTGGAGGGGAGATAATGCTTGTCATGGTGCATGTAACAAACTTGCTTTGAAAAGGAGCCCATGGACTTTTCTGGACTAAAGCAGAGGTCAGCATAAAGAGATAACCTTCTGTTGACCAACGGTTAGGGGCCTGGATGACTGTATGGGAGGATCTCTGTTATATTTGGTGAATATTACTTGATCATTATAGGTTGCCAATAGGAATGGGGATTCTTTTATTTACATGTGATTTTTTTCCCCCAAACTTTGTTCTATTTTGGTTAAGCCTTTTTTTTTTTTTCTTAAATGAAAAAATCTGTTTTATTTCCATATACTTAATTTTAATTAAGCATATAATTTGTATTAACTGAGACTATGACAATTCCAAAAGTGTCCACTTAATTTTCAAGCTCTGTGCAATAGTAAATATGTGAGGAAATGTGGCAAGAATGTTACTGGCAGACTGAAGAATTCAGGCCAAACTTTGTAACCTACAGAAGCTGTCATGGATGAAAGAAGCTTCAGTATTATGAATAATAATAAAAAGTGCAGTTAACACTGAATAAAAATAATTCTGTTTGAAAGAAATGTAGTTACTTTTTGAAAGAGGTCATTGTGTCAGCTGCACTTTTCTCCAAGTTATACTTAGAATAATCCATTTCTACTTCTTACTAAATCCCTTTTGCTGTGCAGTCTTCTCTATGCCATGGTGTTTTTATTCAAGCCTTGTGGCATTGTGCCAATTATAAACCAGGAACACAGGCATGGAGCATGTGTAGCTGATATCTGCTCCTGGGACTAGGAAAGTCTAAGATGAATTTTTTTTTTCCCAAACAGGGAGAAACTGGTGTATTCTACAGCTGCCTAATAGAAATGAGCCAGTTTTTATGGCTTCTGCTATGGTGTTACTGCAGTAATGTTTCTATTACTTACCTATGCTTTACATTTGTTGTTTGGTGAGAGAGAAAAGTTTCTATGAGAATACTTGTTTTCTTACATGACTTGTGTATTGGTTTGTACATATAACTCCTAAGAATTTAAGTAAATTACTACTGAATGTTGCTGTCTCTCTTGTGTAGAGGTATTATCTAATTCTTATTTTAATCTGCTTTAATTTTTCTAAATTTAAAATCTTCTCACCCTTTTTTCCCCTGTAATTCGGTCCTTTCACTGGACTAATACTGATCAGTTTTGGACTACAGAATACACATGACCTTGTAGAAATCAGAAGAACATAGGTAGGTGTGAGTAGGACAGAAATGCATAGTATGCAAGTATGGAGGAAATGGAACAAAACCACTTCACAGTGGTGGTGTTTTGGGTTCTTTGCTTCTTTTCATGCCTTCCTTTGAAATAGACAGCATTAATGTTAAGTAAGCAGAGTTTGAATAGATTCTTTCATTCAGTCTCTTGCTTCATCAGTAGGTGTAACGGTTGTCTCTTGTCTCCTCTAGTTGTAGTGCCAGTAAACCCCAGGAGAGAGTGGGAGAAATGGAGGGTTTTAAACAGAGAAGCTGTTCTGCTCTGCTTTAGAAAACTGTGTTTGAAAGAAAATTTGTTTTCAACAGACCATTGTATTGTATAAAAATAGTTGTTTAGTAAGCATTTGCATTTCCGTGAAGCTCCAGGTACACATGATTCTTAGTAAATCTACTGAAATTATCCTGAAAAATTTGCAGTGGAATACTGATAGTCTGTATCCCAGCAGTTCATGTTAGACTAATGCTAATTGTGCACCTGGGTCACTCACATAAACTATTACTTACTCCTACCTACTGGGGCTGTTTTTAATGACATACTGTGCAGCCACCCTGGTTCTGCAGCCTTCTTTGATAGCCTGGGCAGCTCCACATACATATCTTCAAGCTTTGTAAACAACAGAATTTGTTTAGTTAGCTTGTTAACAAGTTAAAATCTTTTCACCCATGCCTTCACTTAGGAATCTGGTTGTGTGTTTGGGAATCTCTGTGTCTGAATGACAAACGTCCAGGAGAAGTTGTGTTCCTTAGCTTGGCCAGCGAGTTCAGAAGCGCTGGGGCAGAGAGCAGGCTCGGCTTGCCAGCCCTTTTCAGGGGGCTCTGCGCAGCGCCGTGTGGTCCGTACCTGCTGGGCTCTGCGTGGAGGTGACGGCAGCTGCGCTTGGCAGCGCGGTCAGCTTTACGGGGCTGGGGGAGGGAAGCTCTGCTGCTGCTGCACGTGTTTGTGCTGGCTCTGCTGCCTGCTGCTCGGACCATGGTCCCTGCCCTTGTGCCAGCACAAGCCGTTCTTTGCACAGGAGCTCACCCCACTGCCACTGCCACAAACCCGACTCTAAGGCCACAGAGCAGGCATCGAGTTGCAGGCAGACAACAAATGTCTGGTTTAATGTGTAGTTTTCAGTACAAGTGAACCGAACCCATTCATCTGCTAGAGAAAGGCAGCTATCCAGTGTGAGATTTATCCTGCTTTTATGGCCAGAAATTCTGGAAGAAATTGCTGCAAGGCCATTCTTGTTCCACGTCTGTTGCCTGGTAGGAATGCTGCCAGACTTTCTTAGATGGGCAGCGCAAGGCTTGAAGATGTTTCTGACTGAAGGAGGTGCCGTAGGAGAGACAGGGAGCTCTGGGACCTAAAGCACCAAGTGTGGGATCAGTGTTGTGCTGGGGTGACCAAAACTGGGACAATGTTCTGTAGCTATGGAAGGGAGTTGAGCTGTGCCCCTTACTCCTGTGACTGGAGAAAAACAAGACCAGTGGCGGGCGGTTTCAAGAAGCTGGCAGTGTCTGGTTAGGGCTTGGCAAGCTGTTCTTGGCATCAGACTTCAATTAGGCAACTAACTATTTGCTTCACTCACTTGTGATTGTCAGACCACCAAATGAGTACTTCAGATTCGGAGGTTTTCAAACTGTTTTGATGCAATCAGTAGCACAAGTATGCCTGCAGCTTCCTTTTGTCCTTTCATTTATTCTCTTCTGCTAGTATTATCTATTAAAATACTGTTGTGGTTAAGATGTTTTTATATGGCTTTAGAAAAGCTTTTATTATAATAAAATTGTGGGGAACTTGGTCAGGCCTTGGTTAGATTTTTTTGTTGTTGTTGTTTATAGAGTACTTCTGAGAGTTATGTTGTTGCTCAAATATGGGATATTTTCTTGCATTATTTTTCCAGTGCAAGATCTATGACAAGTATCAGTAAAGATGGGCATGATCATGTCTCCTTAAGGCTATAATCTTTATGAGTCTTTCAATTCAACATCTTTTTTACTCTGCAAAACAATCAGTATGGGGGGAAAATGATCTTGAAAGAGAAACTTAGTGGAGTTTTTGCATTAGAAAAATGTCTTCACTAAGAAAATGCTCTGTACACCTTGGTTCTACAGTGTCTGAAATACAGCATTAATTATATTTTTGCTGACCCTGGCATCCCGTTGTACTTGGGATTCTAGCTATAGCTAAAATATGCCTTTCTCTGCCAAGACCTGGAGGCAGGACTAAGTGTTCTGAAGGTGTAAAGCTACCTAGAAAACTGTATGTTTTAAGCAGCGGTTCCTGCATGCTACAGGAATATGCTGTGCTAAGAGCAAGGCAGATCAAAACAGGGACACAATTGGTGGGTCACATATGTTCTCAGTAGCTCTTTGGATTATAATATGGTGTTAAAGATGGGGAAGGTAATTAAATCAAAAGGCCTGAATTGAATTTCTTACTAATCACCTATTGGTAGGCCAGCTGGATCCTGGAATGAAAAACACAGTGGTTTGAGAAGTGGTGCTGTGCAAGATTTACATTGTATGTTTGGCACAGAAAACCTTGGTCATTTCTTACCAACAGCCTCTATTCTGTTGTCTCCTCTCCAGTTGAAGCCTAAAGCATCAGGGGACAGGTGGTGCTGGCTTTGTGCTGTCACAGAGCTGCAAAATTCCTACTGACCCTGAAGGCCTCAGTGCTGAATGCTGGGCTTGGCTTCTGCAGGGCTAGCAAGTGACAAGCTTTAAAGCTGTTCTTTAAAGCTGCGGGATATAGTTGGTTGTGTGGTGGGCTTGAGGAGAGCATATTGTGCAGGAGAGAATATTGTGCACCCAGGCTCTTCTATTTTTCTGGTGTCTCTTTGGCTGACTCTGGAGTGATAACATTACTTCAGTTGGTGTGGCATGACTGTATGCCATGAGAACTAAGGGGTGTCAGACTGATGAGTGGATATGGCAGAGGGAACAGCAATCCTGGATGGAGCTTACCACTCACAGCTTATAGTTATAAAGGTTTTTGCTATGTTCTGCTTCCGTTTTCTCTAGCCAGTGTGGGTAGTAATTTTCCAAAATCAGTACCTGCTGTGAGGATTAATTCCTGTGCCATTTACTGACAAGCAGGTCTGGACAAAACCCTGTAATCTGTTTGCTGCAGTCTCTGTTCTTTAGTGTGATTTGTGTATTGATTTTCTTGAGACAGAAGAAATTCCTGAGGTTCACAGACAGCACTGAAATCATCTGACCTGTGGACAGCTGACCGCAAACAGTGGTGTCTCTCCAGAGTTGTGGAGTATAAGTACAGAATGAATGATCATTTTCTAATACCTATAATTGAAAGAAGATTTGTAAGCGTGGTAATTTGCAGAGTCAGGGTAGTTTGCAGCATGTGCTGTAGGGTGGGATGGAAGGTTCTACTGGTGTTACAGATGATGAGTTGTGCAGCCTTACTGTGGGTGCTGTTTTAGATACAGATTTGTCAGTTCACAGTGGTGCTTATGCTGGTCTGTATTGTGCATCGTGGGGATGTCAAAAAGCCTGACTAGAATCTTTGGGATCTGCTGCTGTATACAAGAGAAGTGAGAAAGGAACTTTCTTTGCCCCTGTATTTATTTTTATGAAAAGCTCTTTAAAGGTGTAATTAAAAAAAAAAAAAAAAATCTGCTGTCAAAAGGACAAAGTGCATTTGAGATTTCCTATCTTCTGGGAGCTTGTCCAGCTGATTCCTGTTGTAAGGCTTAAGACGAGCAGGCTAGCTGGCACTGCAGGTAAGGGGAAGGTTGGGTGCATTGAACTCATGGTTTATCCAGTAGTTTAAAGGCTTCTGCAGGCCTGAGCACTCTGTGATGTGGACTTACACTGGAATAGATGTTGCATACTATATCTGAGGGTTCTGAAGATACCTTTTGTTGAGAAAGATACCTTTTGTTTGGAAAAAGTAGCTTTTTAAATGCAAAATTGGAAAGATACACTTTTCAATAACTGGTGAAACTCTAATCTCTGAAGCTGAGCTGTTACAGAAATGGAGTAGCAAACACTGAAGTGCAAAACTAGATTTAAACATCTTTACTTTATTACTGTGTTATTGATGGTGATAACTAAGGCTTGAATTTCTTTTTCTCTCTTCCAGATGAAATAAAAAGTGAGCTGGAAAAGCAAAGGTAAATTGTTAATTACTCTAAATAGAAGTGTGTGAAAAGAGCAAATGGAATAGTTTTGTGGAAGTGTAAGAGTGTATATACATTATAGCAGTGAATTTGTGAATACCCAGTTACCCACCTTTCTGCCAAGAACATGTGGCCTGACCTGTGTGTTTCACTTACACAATGTTTGTGGCTGTGGGTACTCAAGCCATAACTGCCTGTGAATTTCACCAGGAAAAAATTGTGACATTTCTAAAAGGTGCCGTTTTTTTGCTTCCTTTTACTGGACTCAGTAGCCTGATAGGAAATAATGGGGAGCAGTACATACCCCCTGTTTGATAGCATGTGCTCTTTATTACCTAGATCAAGAACACCAATTTAAATATTACTGCAATAAAAGTTTTAAAAAAGTTTTCCAGCACTGTGCTATGATTGAAAATGAGCAGATGGGTCTCCAAATGTGTTTCTGTTTGCTTAGTGTTCTGCTTATGGGCATCGTTTAATCCATTTTGAATAACATGGGTAGATATATCAGTTGTGTAGGAGTTTTCCAATATTTCAGACAGTGGGACAGTGTTGGAGTGTAGTGAGGGAAGAGTAAAGCTGAAGAAGATACAAAAAAGATCAGATAGAACATAAATAAATGTAAAATGGGTTTTGTGTGATTTTTAAAGAAAATTAATCCTTGTTTAAGAAAGTATATGCAAGAAAACTGCAGTACATTTTTATGCTTCTTTGCATTATTTTCCTTTAAATTCAGAAAAAAGAGAAAGTGTAGTTTGCTGTGATATACATGCTTAGAAAACTTAATAATTCTTTGTATCTGACCTAGAGAAGGCACTGCTGCTCCACCAAAAGCAAATTTCATTGAAGCAGATAAATATTTCCTTCCATTTGAGCTGGCCTGCCAGTCAAAGTCTCCACGCATAGTCAGTACTTCCCTGGATTGTTTACAGGTAAGTGTTGTGGGTAAGCTTCATCAGAGTGAGATGGAGAAAGCTGCAGTGACCATATCTGGCATGCAGCTCCTGCAGCAGGGAATGCCCCTGCCCGGGGTGACAGCAGCCCCAGGGTCACAGCAGCCCCTGCCTGGGGTCACACTGGGCACAGGGAGGAGTGTGGTTGCCCTGCTGTAGCCCCTTTGCTGGGGCTGGGGGCTCCTTACACCGGGCAGTAAAGGTGCTTCGTCTGTTGTGCTCCACAAGGAGTGTTACCATGGGGTTCCTTTGGTGCTGATGTGACAGAGGAAGTCACACTCTGGAAAAAACTGGTGCTAATTTTTTTTTCTTTGGTTATGGTGTGAAGAAATGGCCTGAGTTGAAAAAGCTTTTGTGTCATACTAAAATCTCTTTCGTCCACATGTGTGAGCAGTGAAACTATTTGCTGGCCAGACTATAGATGGTGTTAAATTTTCACATTAAAACTGATTAAGTGAGGTATGCTATCTAAGCACACCTTTTTATGCTGTGCTGAACTGTATTTTTCTTAACAGTATATGGTCATCTAAGCTGCGTTTTTTCTACCTAGAAACTGATTGCATATGGGCATATCACTGGCAATGCTCCAGACAGCGGAGCTCCTGGGAAACGACTGATTGACCGAATAGTGGAAACCATTTGCAATTGCTTTCAGGGTCCTCAAACAGATGAAGGAGTACAGCTGCAGATAATTAAGGTATTTTATGCAAATTTATTTTGGTGCAACGTTAATTTGCCTTCTCTCTCTCATTTCGTAACTGAAAAAAAATAAAAGCAAAATATTACTGAGGGTCCACTTGTTCCTTTTCTTACATTGTTCCATGTGTCACTGCATTCAGGGAGGCTGTCACCAGGGCAGAACTGGTGAGGAAAATGTACTTCCTGTTGGGAAAGCAGAATGTAAAGGAGTCTTTTAAAAATGTTTGTCCTTTCTGAGATAAACTATCTTTCAGAGAGTTTGGTGCTCCACTTAGTGGCTCACTGTGCCCACCTCCATCAGGTGAGGGAATTGCTTTCAGCCCTGATAGCAGGCCCTGGAATTGGGATGCAGTGCCATGGAATACTGTTCAAGCCTGTCTGCTCCCCTGGCCATTTTTCCAGGCAGCTGCCAGTGTATGTTCTCAACATGTAATGTCCGTCAGTGGTGTGTGTTCTGGCTCTGAAATATTCTTGGATTACTGTAGCTGAGGTTGGAAGTTAGAAGTTAATGAACCTTCTAGTAGTCCAGTTTGACATTAGTGTAGGCCAGTTGGCTCTTGTGTGGAAATGAAGCTATGGAATATAGTAAATTTTTTGGAGGTGGAGTATCTCCCTTAGTTTTGATAAGACCTTCTAAGAACAGCTCAGGAAGGAGCAGAGATGTGGAAGTCCTTTTGAACTTTCTTTGACTTGAAATGTTGTTGCTTGTAAAACCTTAAAAAAAGATATCTGTGTTTTGTAGCAAACCCAGTGATTATTCTGGAAGACATGCATGAGGAGCATTGCTGCTTACTTGGCTTAGGTTTCACTTGTACCATGTTATGGACTTTTCTAGGCTCTTCTCACTGTAGTAACATCTCCGTATATTGAAATTCATGAAGGAACAATTCTTCAAACTGTTAGAACCTGCTACAACATCTATCTGGCCAGTAAAAATCTTATTAATCAGACAACTGCCAAAGCTACCCTTACACAGATGTTAAATGTAATTTTTACACGGATGGAAAATCAAGCTGTAAGTAGCTATTACTTTTTCTCATCTCAAATGTTTAGACTTGCAAATGACTGAAAACTTTTTTGTTATTATTGTTTTTGATGAATCTGTTATTGTAGTTGCATATCTGTTGATTTGTCATGTAAGAAAACCTGTCAACTTGTGCAGTGAGGCATGCTGACTGAATTGAACATAAAAGATGACATGCACTGCTGATAACAAGGTTTCACACTATAGCTTCTGTCAAATGGCACTGGATAAACAAATGATGCTTTTCAAATGAACTTGAAGCGTATCTTTTTAATCTCATTGGGCAAGTGGTTGTAGTTTCACTGATTCTTGTTAAGAGGTGAGTTCACAGAGGAACATCAGTCGTCATGGACAGGATTTCCCTCTGTGTATTTTGTACTTGGATTAATCTTTCCGTGTGTTTTCCAAGCTGCAGGAGTCCAGAGAAGCAGAGCGGTCGCAGAAGCCGCAGTCCCCCGCGGTGGCGGGGTCGCGGTCCCCACGGCCGGGGCAGCGGCAGCACAGCTCCTGGGGAGACAGAGCTGGTACTGCCAGCAGCATGCTGGCCAACGGGGAGCCCGGCCCTGGAGAGCCCAGCTGCAGGGAGCTGCAGCGGGCCCCTGCCCTGCGGGCAGCAGGTGAGCACAATACGGGGTCTGTTGCTTTCACTCGCAGCCAGCCTGTTGAAAAGTGCTGTTGGGGGAGCAGTGATGGGGTGACTGGCTCCCTTGGCTCTCCTCAGTAGGCTTTCAGAGTGTGCTGCCATCCTCGGCTTGTGTCTACACTGTGACTGCTGCAGAAAGGTTCCTGTTCTCCCTAGAATTCCAGTTAAACCATGTGTACTTAAACTATAGAGGATTGTAATGGAATTTGACTTGAACAGGTTGATAAAGAGGAAGGAAAGGAGGGGAGTTGTCATGGTATGTGGGATGTGACAGAATCGGTCTCAGGTAATTGAAGTCCTGCGGTAAAAATGGTGCATATTATGAAGACCATATCATCAGCACATACTGCATCCCAATTAGGAATGTTTGTAACAGTTGATAAATAAAAATGACAAAATAACTGCATTAAAAGTATCGGTGCTTTGATTCAAACAACATAAATAACATCAATGAGTATTTTTGAATGACTTCTAACAAATTGCTTTCAATGAGAGATGCTGAAGAAAACTTAAAAATTTTTATGCTTCTGCCTTTGTTATGTCTTTTAATCTTCCTGAGAGAAAATACTAAATTAAAAATTCTCTCTGTGTTTCATTAGAGGAAACAATTGATGGAGGAAAGGAAATGGTTCAAGGCATCTTGGAAGATGTGGTGGAGTCAGCTGTGAAAGGTAGTAAAGTCTTCTAAAGTAAAATAGTTGTATATGTATTGATTATAGAAGCATGGAAGTAATTTTTGTTACTAAGTATCTTGACAAGAACACGTACTAAGGCAGCAGGTTTTGGTTGTATCACCATATTCTTTTGCTGATAGTTGAGAAACTTTCTAGTTTACTAGTGCTACTTCTGTGCCACTCTGTGGTAGAGGTTCACAAAGTCATGGGATAGAAAACTCTTGCATGATTTTAATAATCTTTCCATTTTCCCCTTTAGTGGCTGAAGAAAAGCAGGTAACAGAACCTGCATTAGAGGCTGCAGATACTCTTCTTTCTGGCTCTAGCAATGAGAATGTACAAACAAACGGGATTCCAGATGATGGGCAGTCTGTTTCCTCCACTGATAATCTGGTAAATAACTGCACTGGATGCCAATATACATCTACAAAAGAAGAAATGTTTTTATTGTGATAACAAGGTGGGATTTGGCAGAAGAAAGAGGCAGAAACTCTAATGTATGTGTTCTGCTCAGGTTCAAAAAGGAAGCAGCAGCTGCAGTTTAAGCATATATTGAACATACCTGTCCTAAAATTGATTATATTAGTTGTATTTTAATACAGAGTGGGGACAGAGATAAAGGGTCAGTCAACATGTGTAAAAAGATCCAGATCCCTTGTAATCCTGTTTAGGTTTAGTTTGAACTATAGCTGATTCTCAGAGGAGCTGTGGAATCTCCTAATTGCTGTTTCTTTGTCTCACTGAGGGTCTGTGTTGTGTTTCTTACTCTCAAGGAAACTGATGTATCTGGACATCAAGCTGCTGCCAGATTTTCCCATGTTCTACAAAAGGATGCCTTCCTAGTGTTCAGGTCATTGTGCAAGCTCTCCATGAAGCCGCTGGGGGAAGGACCACCAGATCCCAAGTAATGTGGCTGGCTTTCTTGTTCTGTCCTGTAGCTTTTGGGGACAGTTCAGTTGCTGCTGTATAGTTAAGCAGGTGTTCAAAATCCACTTGTCAGACCCTTGGTTTAGTTAACTTGATGAACCAACCTAGGATTGAAAATAGCTTCAAATTATTAAAAATTCAATACTTGAGATTTTTGGGTTTTGTGTAATAGGCTTATTAATCTTACCAGTTGGAGTGGCCTCGACTATAGTATTTGTGAAGCTTTTGGTGGGAGAATGGGGAAGTGCTTAAGAAGCACTGAGTTACATTTATCAGGCTAGTCTAAGGTGTTAATATTACTGAAAAAATTTCAAATTTGGATGGTAAAAGTTCAAAATTCACTTGGCTGATTTCCACCCCTTTTGCCCCTCGCATTTAAATGCATCAAAATAGCACTAATTTCTTCCTGGTGTAGAGAACTGCTACAGTGCTAATGTCGAATGCAGGTATATACTAAAAAAATATAGAAATCCATTTAATGTTGAATTTTTTTCTAGATCCCATGAATTGCGTTCCAAGGTTGTGTCTCTCCAGCTGCTTCTCTCAGTGCTGCAGAATGCTGGTCTGGTTTTCAGGACACATGAAATGTTCATCAATGCAATCAAGCAATATCTTTGTGTAGCATTATCTAAAAATGGAGTCTCTTCTGTTCCTGATGTGTTTGAGCTCTCTCTTGCCATCTTCCTCACGCTGCTTTCAAATTTTAAGACCCATTTAAAAATGCAGATTGAGGTAAGAGACTTTTAATCTATAAATTGCATATGCTCTAGTTCTCAAAATACTGTTCTCAAGGTAAAAAGATAGGTGGAGCTTCCATTTTAATATCTTAGTTTGGTTTGCTTGCTAAACTAATATATTAGTACCGTATCCAAATTCTAATATGCACAAAATATTACTCTTCAAGAAAAATTATTGAACAGAAATGAATGTGTACATTTGATGTGGTTCAAATAAGTTTCAGATTATCAAGTCCTTAATCTTATTTATTTTGCAGGTGTTCTTCAAAGAGATCTTCCTGAATATTCTAGAGACTTCTTCAAGTTCCTTTGAACACAAATGGATGGTGATTCAGACTTTAACTAGAATTTGTGCAGGTATTTCTACTCTGTGAAAGAATCACTTCTTCTGGCAGCAGATGAAAATTATTTTGAGAAGAAATGGCACATATAGTGTTTAAGTGTGAAAATTTGAATTTGGTCCTAGAGTGCTTGAGTTAAACGTCTGGATTCATCTGCAGTGTCTGCTCCAGCTGGCTGATTCCTTTTAAAATTTCTATTGCACCGAATCCTAATACTTTAATTTCCTTTTATTTTCCAGATGCCCAGTGTGTAGTGGATATTTATGTTAACTATGATTGTGATTTAAATGCTGCTAATATATTTGAACGTCTTGTAAATGATTTATCCAAAATCGCACAGGGACGAAGTGGGCATGAGTTAGGAATGACACCTTTACAGGTAAGGATAACAGCTTTGAAGATAAGGTACTATTGTTTCATAAACAGTTCTATCTTTGCATTGTTACAGATACTTCCAGAGGTTCCTGTTGTCTGTAACCTACTGATGTTACTTACGTTTTATTAGTTTGATAATTTGCAACTGGACACTGAAGCAGTGCCATTAATTACTTGGTGATTTTGCTGCCTGTTTGCATTGTAAGACCAGGCTGGTTCTTGTCTCTTTAGTTTGACTGGCAAGGGAGAGAGGACCAAATGAGCCTTCCTCTGCCTCAGTTAAATACTTCCTTTCTGAAGTGCATAACCAGTGGTACTGGCTGTGGGGTTTGCTTCGCACAGACTTTATGCCATATCTCCACCATAAGCATTTTATTTTAAAGATTATACTTTTCCATTCTTTAGAGGGAAACTGTTGTATAGACTGTGCTGAACAGTTTGTTGGTTTGATTTTTCTTTTTTTTTATTTTCTTCTTCTTCATGTTTTAGGAACTAAGCCTGAGGAAAAAAGGACTTGAATGTTTGGTTTCTATTTTAAAATGTATGGTAGAATGGAGCAAAGACCTTTATGTGAACCCCAATCATCAGACTAGCTTGGGTAAGATTGTTTCTGTATGGAGAGACTGATTTATTTAATCAGTTCATTCTTGTGTTTGTTCACTGTTTAGAAGCTATTCAGAAGTGTGGGTGCCAGGTTTGTACCTTAACAATTTGTTTACACAAGTGAGGTATTTTGCAAATAGCTGTTAGTGCTGGTGTAGTGAGTGATTCTCAAAGTGTCAGTTTTGAATAACCAGGTTCTGTTGATGAGCTTTAGCTAGGCCCTTGTCTACTATAAAGGCTGATGTAGAACAAGACATTGGACCAGTCTTGGAGTTACTAAGTTGAAGTACTGGAATTTCTCCATAGATGCCGCTGCTTTTCTGCCTTTTGTTGGATTCTTTTAGAATTGCATCAATACAGCATCTTCATGTAGAGTAGTGCAGACTGGCAAAAAGTATACATGGAAAAATAAGACTATTAACTCTCAGATTTCTGCTTAAAAGTTCTGCAACTAAAAGGTCTTGACTGAACAAGGATAAGTTAAATCTCACCTTGTTTGTAAATAGGTTCATATAAACCATCTGAACAGGAAATGGCTGAAGGTAAATGCCTGGACACTGGAGGGAGACGGAGCAGTGTCAGTTCCTTGGACTCCACTGTATCGTCAGGAGTGGGAAGTGTTGGTACCCAGACTGCTGTCCCAGATGATCCAGAGCAATTTGAAGTCATCAAGCAACAAAAGGAAATAATTGAACATGGGATAGAACTGTAAGCCTAGTATGACAGGAAAACTAAAGTTCACTTTAAATAAAATATGTTGTTGCTTATGGTCTCACAGTCACACCTGTAGGGACACTTACAAATTAATATTAATGCTGAAGACTGTTGCCTGCTGTTGTGAAAACCAATGCGGGAGGCTGTTATAGTTAAGAGAAATTTCATAAAATCCTGGGTGGAGTGGAAGGGGTTTTCACAGCTTTCCTTTTTGCTGGCTGAGCTCCACAAGAGGGTGTACGTGTAGAGAGAAATTGGTTTGAGTGACACAGTTGTCTTGGAGCTCTTACATGATTTGTTGTCCTTTATTGAAATAGAGTTCAAGGAATTAAATCATTGTGCAGCTATGCTTTACTTCTTCTTCATTAATTTGAAAGTCTACATGTTGTAAATACTAGAAAAAGGTCTTGAACAACAACATTTTAAACATTTCATGTAAAGTTTCACATTTTTCATGTTCAAAAAGGTGAGTTTTGGAGTTTTTCAGCAATAGCTTCTAAGGTTATCAGCAACTCGGTTTACCTTATGAGGTGGAGCCTGTGGTGTGATACAGGTAATAGATTTGTTGCACATTATTTTACTTTTTTCTAACTAGAAAGAAAAGACTTGGAGCTACAGCACAGAATCTTTGATTTATGTGGACTCTGTAAAACTCAAATTTTATAGGCTCTGATATTTTTAATTGTTTGTCAATTTTCCCGTGTTTTTGTCTGCATAGGTTTAATAAAAAGCCAAAGAGAGGAATACAGTATCTACAGGAGCAGGGGATGCTTGGCACTACAACAGAGGACCTGGCACAATTCTTGCACCAAGAGGAACGCCTGTGCTCTGTAAGATTATGTGCAGCACAATTAATACCCTTGCCCCTGTACCTTTGGCCCTGTCCCCGGTGTCTGTGTTCCCCTGCTCTGGATTTCATGTCTTAGAGAAATGAACGTGCAAGACTCCTCGTGGGCATACCTAATGCTGCAGCTACCTGCTGCTTGCTTGCTGTCCTAGGCTTCTCAGTAAAGTCCTGTGTTCTGGTGAGCTGCTGAGGGTTCCCCATCAATGGAATGTGCATGTTGTCTGTCCCTGGAGGCTGCAGGGAGACAGCAGTGTCAGTTGCTGGCAGTCCCTTGCCAGCAAGGGAGGATCATGTGCTGCAGTGGCCAAGCATTCTCTGCTGCGTGTGCAGCTGGGCACAGTTCAGCTTTCTGTGGCTCTGCAGTCGTGCAGATCTTGCCTTTGGCAGTGAGGGAGGCAGGAAGATGCAGACTGAGGGGGCATATCTGTGACCCCTGTCCCTCCCTCGGCTGCTCTCCCCACACGGCAGCTTGTCAGCTTTGCAGGGCTGACAGCTGTGCAACTCTTGGCATAGAAACCCTCTTGCAGAACTGGCACTTGGATTGCACAGTAATAACTGTCTCTTGTGTTTTTTAGACTCAAGTAGGGGAATTTCTTGGGGAAAGCAGCAAGTTTAACAAGGAAGTGATGTATGCCTACGTAGACCAGCTTGATTTCTGTGGAAAAGACTTTGTCTCTGCTCTGCGTATATTTCTGGAAGGTTTTCGTCTGCCAGGTGAAGCCCAGAAGATTGATAGATTAATGGAGAAGTTTGCTGCTAGATATATTGAATGCAACCAACGGTAATTGAAACCCTTTCTATCAGATCAGTGGCCAAGGAACGTTCCCTGGCTGTACTGTTGTGTGGCCCTTAGGGGCAGGGGATTGATTCAGCTTGTACCAGGAACATCTGAGGGCTTGTGTGAGGAGGAGATCTTGCTGTTGATAGTGGAGAGGAAGGATTCTGATGCTGACATTTCCTTAAATCCTAAGTACTTGCTAAAAGGAATTACTGGAAAAGGGAAGCCCTAAGTATGTTAAAATCCAACAGCTAATAGAGAGACAATTTTAGACAAATGTAGATCAGTCAAGTATAAAAAACTGTATTAAGCAATAGAAATGGCTAGAATTAAAAAAAAAAATCATGGCAACTAATAGCATGTTACAGTGCTTTTTCTTGCCTGTTAGATGTGGAACAAAATGTGTATATGTTATTTGATACCAAATAGGCAAAGTTGCTATTGTTCCTAATGCAAGAAACACTGAAGTTTAGTCAGGCTTAATTAGTTTCCTTTCCTTAGTCCAGTTGGTGTATCAGTGGGTTGGTTTTGTATCTATCTTTATGAAACTCTGGGTAAAAAAATAAGCTGTCATTTAACTTTTTTAAGATTATACATTATTGTTCTTTGGGTAATTGGTAGGGAATGTACTTGAAAATCCCAGTCTAGTTTTCAATATTGCAAAGATGATGCACTTCCCCCTCCCCCCCGCCCCGCTTCCTTTTTGTTTGTGTTTTAAACTGCTCAGGGTTTGGTGCATTTCTGATGGCTCAGTCTTTGTTGGCTCTTTGGTTGAATCCATAGCACTTCTGGGTATTTTTCTTGCATATGGAACTAGAGCTAATGGATTGAGGGGGAATTGAGAGTCCATGAACCTGTTTTGTTTTTTCCTCTCTCAGGCAAACAATATTTGCTAGTGCAGACACTGCCTATGTTTTGGCGTACTCCATTATAATGCTGACTACAGACTTGCACAGTCCACAGGTAGAAATTTTAAAAATCCAAACTTACAGTGGTCCAAACATCCCTGGATCTTGCATTCAAAATCTGATATCCAACTTATTCCTTCTTACAGGTAAAAAATAAAATGACAAAGGAGCAGTACATTAAAATGAATCGAGGAATTAATGACAGTAAAGACCTGCCAGAAGAGTATTTATCCACAATCTATGAAGAAATAGAAGGAAAGAAAATTGCAATGAAGGAGACAAAAGAATATGCAATTACAACCAAGTGTAGTAAACCAAGTAAGAAGGAGCTAGAAACTGGGAAGACCACAGTGCTCTTGAACTCTGGCAGGAACTAAGGGATGGCACAGTGGCGTGCAGAGTCCTTGTGAAAATACCTTGGGGCAATACATAAAGTACATTTGGAATGGTTGGTAGAGGTATATGGAATGAAACTGGCTCAGTCGCAATTTAACATTGCCTTCTGTGGTGGGAGCAGCTGTGTAGGTGCCTCTGGCACCACTGCAGAGCAGCACTAGAAACCAGATTTCTAGGGGTTTTGAGACACAAGTGTGAGGAATAATTCAAGGGGGAATTTACTTTGCAGTTAAGTTGCTTTTATGTGCTACAAAGAGTGAGGGCTTGATTTGGGCTGGTTTTCTGTCTTTTTCCATAATTCAATGTCTGGGAGGTGTCACAGTCTTTGTGATAGTGTTTGAAAACCAGAGAGATTAGAGATTTTGTCATAATCTACAGACACCTCTCCTTATCCAGACCAAATAAGGGCTCCTTTGTGTGGCATGCAGTAGAAACCACTATCCCCAGCTGTACCCTACTTTTACTCAGAATAGCTTATACTAATTTAATTCAAATTAGTGAATTCTGAATCTTCAGCACAGTGGTTTTCTCAGTGCTTTTATGCTGTTTGCAAGTTTTGTCAATTAAAATAGGAACAAAATTAATTTGCTTGAAAATTGAAGTTGCACTCTGTAGTATAAGGATAAAGAAGCAGTAAGTTATTAATTTAGTTATCATGGTGGTGAGGGCTTTTGTTTTGGGGTTGTGAGCCTAAGAAAACACAGGATTTTCCATCCACTTTTACAGGCAGAATGACTTAATAGAGTATACACCTCTGACTTGGAGCAATTAGGTAATAGCATGTATTATATACTAAAGGGCGAATTGGTTATTTTGTACAGAATAAAGTCTTAAATTTGGGTGTAGTTTTTAGTGTTGGACTTCCTTGCTTGCAGCCTCCTGACTTCCAAGATTTTGCAAGATTTCTGTCTTTAGATTTTATTTGCAATACCTTTATTTACCATTTTGTGATGCTCAGTGTGAAGAGAAGGAATATGCTCTTGTAAGAAAAGCAAGTAATGTCTGTGTGTGCTGTTCCCCTTAGGCGTAGCTAATGAGAAGCAGCGGAGGTTGTTGTACAACTTGGAGATGGAGCAAATGGCAAAGACAGCCAAAGCCCTCATGGAGGCAGTGAGCCATGCGAAGGCACCTTTCACTAGTGCCACTCACCTGGATCATGTCAGACCCATGTTCAAAGTGAGTGTCAGGTTCTCACTGTGTCTTTGTTATGAAGAGTTTAAAGCATGGGAAGAAAAGTGGAAAATTACTCTGAAGAGTTTGCTAATGAAACAGAGGGACTCTTTGGATATATTTGGCTTCAGTAACCAGTGTTTTCGGCTAAAGTTGTAAGCGGCCTCTGAATTTAATTTCTTCCTCTGTTTAGCTTGTGTGGACTCCACTGCTGGCAGCTTACAGTGTTGGCTTGCAGAACTGTGATGACCCAGAAGTTGCATCCCTGTGTTTGGAAGGAATTCGCTGTGCCATTAGGATAGCCTGTATCTTTGGAATGCAGGTTGGTGCCACACTTAGCCTGGTTCTTGCTGAGGGCCATGGGAGGCAGGTGAAGAATTACAAACAGCCTATACATAGAAGATGAAATGTCTCATCTGCTTTCTTGATGTAATCAAGATGCTTTCTTGATGTAATCTTGATGTAATCAACTCTGCTTTTCTTTGTTGGATCTTCTGTTAAGAGCATTTGCTGGCATCCTACTGTCATTTAGCTGGAAAGTGCTCTAACAGTGCCAGCTATCCATAGAAGGAAAATTTGTAGGCAAGTTGCTTTCTCTGGTTCTTTGGGGACTTGATTTTCATGCTTGTTTCTCTGTCCTGTAGCTTGAACGAGACGCTTATGTACAGGCTCTTGCTCGTTTTTCCTTGTTGACTGCCAGTTCCAGCATTACAGAAATGAAACAGAAGAACATCGATACTATTAAGACACTCATTACAGTTGCTCACACAGATGGCAACTATCTTGGCAATTCTTGGCATGAGGTAAATCCTTATTAAATAGTGAATGTGGTTTTTTCTACTACTATCAGCTCCCCGAACTTGCTCAAAAATGTGAAGGAAGTGCATTATATAAAGTTTTTTTTTTCTAATATGTAGATAAAAATAATGGATTGCATTTTTTTTTGAAGACCCTGTGGAAACTGTGTGACAATATTGTAGTTTTTGTGGCTGCATTTGATATAGGATTTAAATTATATAAAAATTTTCATTTGGCTTGAGAAAATTCTTCATATAAACTATTGTATTCTTATTCATGGAAACAAAAATATTCTAGCTCACAGGTCCAGACTTGTCTGTGCAATGTTTGACAACATGTACACCATAAGCACATGAAAAACTGGGGCTAAAATACTTTGGTGGATGATTGATAAATATGAGCTATCAGGATTATATGTATTTTCTTAAAGCCTGTGCTGTTGCTAAAAGGAGCATTTCTGCTGCATTATGTTCTCTGGCTCTAGTCTTGGAGTACATGATATGAGCCAAAATGTGCTAGAGCTGACAGATAGCTCAGACCTGGCTCACTGCACACTCTCCTGGGTGCTTGTGCCAGCCAAGGGATGTGGCTGTGGGGAGGAAGGAGGAGGCAAGCACAGCATTGGCATTTAAACTGTCTAGTTTGGAATGTTGTTACTCAAGTGGTGAGAGCTGCAGTGTTTCAGTCTTATCTCTCTAGGGCAATGAAGTCTCTACAAGATCAGCTCCAGTCTGATCTTTATAGTGTTGAAAGTTGATGGTGTAAAAAGTAATGAAAAGGTATCCTTCAATAGTTAGATTTTGGAGCACTGTTTATTTTGTTCTTATATTGGAATGATTCATGGTGGCTGATAATATTGAATGCAGTCAACTTAATTTTCAGTTTTATTAGTAATGTTTTAGCTCCATCAAAACTGTTAAAATGGCCTAAATTGTTTGAATGGTTGGAGAACCTGGGAAGGTCATAAATATTAAATACAAATATATGTTAAGAATAAAAATATGGTAGTGTGCAGAAACACAGTGTTAAATTTCTTTTGGTTTTAGATCTTGAAATGTATTAGCCAGCTGGAACTGGCACAGCTCATAGGAACTGGCGTGAAAACTCGGTATTTGTCTGGTTCTGGGCGTGAGAGAGAAGGCAGCATTAAGGGCTATGCCTCTGCAGAAGAGTTTATGAGCCTGGGATTAGGTAAGATTATTAATCCTGAACTTCACAAAGGCGCACATACAAGTGGAGTAAGGATGTTAAAGAGTCCTCAATGTTATAATATACTCAAATATACTTACTTGCTTCCAGGGGAAGCTGTGTTGAATTAATGAAACTGTATTCCAATATGTGTTATAATTACCAAATCTGTTGTAATTTTGGAATTGGTTAAGCTATTTTATAACTACTCCACATTTATTTGTTGGAATATGTTGTTGTCAAAACTGTTTTGCTGTACGAAGTCATGCTTTTGTTAAAACATTAATTAATAGAAAAAAGAGCTGTTTATTTTTAGGAATTAATAGATGTTTCAATAGCTGACAATTGGTTTTCCAAAGGAATTTCTTATCTTTACATGTTGGGCTTGCTGTTCCAGTTCCTATTGTTTCTGCAGTGTTTACAAGAAACAAATCTGAGATTTTTGTATAAAATTAGAGGGACAAGGCAAGCTGCCTTATCTTTGTGAAACCACTAAGGAAATAATTTAATTTTAAAAAAAGTTTGGAGTGAATGCTGTAATAATGATTACAATGAATACAGAACTGTGTTCAGCATTAACTATTTGTAGCTAACTTAGAATTCATGTTTTTAAATGGTATTTTCTCTGTTCCAAATTTAATTAACAATATCATATCATCTTAACCTAATAAATATGATGTTTAGCTGTCTAATAATCTGTCATAGATCTAGCACAGGCATTATCTGCTCCACATAAATTACATGGTAGCTAGAAACAGTAGTCAGTTCTCTTTGTTTACTTGTTTGCTGTTGGAGTTACTATAAAGTCATTGTTTCCTGATGGCAAATACTGTTTTTAATGAATTTGTGGCAGGGAACCTCGTTGGGAGTGGGGCTGACAAACGGCACATGGCGAGCATCCAGGAGTCTGTGGGGGAGACCAGCTCACAGAGTGTGGTGGTAGCAGTGGACAGGTACTGAGAATGTAACCTCTGCACTCTTACTCAAAATGTCGTCTTTGTCATCTGACCTTCTGAAATAGTCTGAAGATGTGCTTCTATCCTAAACTATGTGTTGGAATGGGAGTTCTTAGTAACTACGGATGCAATGGTGCAAGCCTGCACAATCGTATATTCAGACTTGCAGTGTTTATCCTAACTATAATCACCCTGTTACCACATCAAAGTTCAGGTCATTTGGGAATGTTCTTCGCTTTATCAGTGTTCTATAGGGGCCACTATCAGCAGTCTGAACTCCTCTCAAGATTGAACAGCTGAAGGGGAAGAAGGGACAGCAGTGCATCCATAGTCTTTCCCCTGTCTCTTTTGACAGCCACAGCCAACCATATTCTCAGAGGATATAAAGATCAAAGGTGGCTGATAACCAGTAAAGTCTTGTAGCAAAGCTTTCTGTCTGTTTATTGTCCCCTTGAAATATAATGTGCTGTCACCCAATTGAGTGTTCCAGCATAACTTGGCCTGGGTAAACTTGTGAGCCTGTGCCTGTTCCTGCAATGGGGCAGGAGTATGGTAGACTGTGACTTGGTGCAGGAAAGAGGATGCTTAGACTAAGGAAAGATGCATGTACTGCTGCCAAGGAGCAAGAATACACGGGGTGCAGAGTTCATGGCATGGAGAACTGTGAAGTACCTCCAGATGTGCTGACCTTTTGCTGCAGCACTGAGCTGTAATCGGTTCCTGTGGATGTGCAGCTGCAATTCAACTCCTGTGTTTGTTGTAGGATTTTCACGGGCTCCACGAGGCTGGACGGGAATGCCATAGGTATGTATGCTGGGTTCCAGGGCCCCTGGCACAGGAGCAGCCTGGCTCACAGCAGCCTTCTCCCGTGCAGTTGACTTTGTGCGGTGGCTGTGTGCTGTGTCCATGGACGAGCTGGCGTCCCCGCACCACCCGCGCATGTTCAGCCTGCAAAAGATCGTGGAGATCTCCTACTACAACATGAACCGCATCAGGCTGCAGTGGTCGAGGATTTGGCATGTGATTGGGGATCACTTCAATAAGGTATTTTTTAAAATCAAGTTACACAAGGTGCATAAATAGTGGGACTTCTTTAATCAACTTTTCCCTTCTGTGTTGTTAGTGGCTTAAACTCTGATATTGAAAAAAAAAATCCATTCAAGGAACTTAAAAGAAGCACCTATTTAAAAATCTAAAGTGTACAAACAGAAATGTTTATAGGAATGATCTTTACTTATATAATCTTCATTATAGGATTTGGTATTTTTGTGATTTTTCTTTGTCTTTTCCTTGGATAAAATGCCAAGTTAGTTTTCCTCTAAAATGTACACAGGTGATTCTTTAACAACAGTTGTTTTGCTTAGGAAATTGAATCATGTTAGGATGGGATTTTTTAACCTAAGATTCCATTTATTTTATTGTATTGTACTGTATTTTAATTTTAGCATCTAGCTGGCTATTACATTTCTGCTTGATTCATTCAAAATCCACGGGTCTGTTTAGATGGATGAAATGACATAAAGTCCCCTTCAGCAAGAACCCCTTCTTTCCCAAGTATCAGAACACTAGAATGTGCTAGCAGTGTTTAGTGGGCTGAGATGGAACTTGAGATGGACTCTGTCATATAAATTACACATTAACTGATAAATGTTTGAAAATATGCTTTTCTTCTAGGTTGGGTGTAACCCTAATGAAGATGTTGCCATCTTTGCTGTAGACTCATTAAGGCAGCTGTCAATGAAATTTCTTGAGAAGGGAGAGTTAGCCAACTTCCGCTTCCAGAAAGACTTCCTAAGGCCTTTTGAGCATATTATGAAGAAAAACAGGTGTGAGGCACAGCAATTTCTGCTTTAGCTTTAGTCCTTTAAGGATGTCACTTGGTATGGTGTAACATTCGGCTAGCTAAGATAACAATCATATCTATCTATCCTCTGCAACAGTATGGGTCATGGTTACCTACAGGGAAGTGGGGGAGTTACTTTGTGCCAGTGTAAAGTAGTCTTGCTTTCCTTTCTCTTTTTTTTTTAAGATCTCCGACTATTCGAGACATGGTGATCCGCTGCATTGCTCAGATGGTGAACTCCCAAGCTGGTAACATTCGTTCAGGCTGGAAAAATATCTTTGCTGTTTTTCATCAAGCAGCATCAGACCATGATGGGAATATTGTAGAGCTGGCCTTTCAGACTACAGCACACATAGTTAGTAAGTAATGCTTGACAGATGCATGCACCCAAATTAGCCTGGCTGCTGTGAGTCTGCTTCTAAAGGCTCATCAGAATAAGGCTTTTGTATTTCCAGGCAAGTAAACACACAGCCTTGCAGCCAGACTGTTTAAACTCTGCAGCTGCATCACACCCTTTAAGTCTCCTGAATGCTGTGGACAGGACAAACTACATGCAGATACTCTGCTGTAGAACTTGGCAATGTGGTTGGTGAGGTGGGACAGGGAAGGATGCAAGAGAGGGCAAAGAACCATTTTTAATGTAGAAGATCTGGTCCTTTTGTGTTTGTCTGTTCCGTAGCAGTATGCCATGGGTGACATGCCTAGATTGATGCAGTTTATCTATGGATTTTAATATCACTAAATTTTAAAAATGTATTTGTTTGTTCTTCACAGCAAATATTTTTCAGCAGCATTTTCCAGCAGCAATTGACTCATTTCAGGATGCAGTAAAATGCCTCTCTGAGTTTGCCTGTAACGTTGCCTTCCCAGACACCAGCATGGAAGCCATCAGGCTTATTCGCTATTGTGCAAAATATGTCTCGGAAAGACCACAGGTACATTTGAATTTTTGCCCCTGCTGCATTTTCATACTCTTCTACTGTTAAATGGAGATTAATCTACTAAGAGCTTTCATGCTCAAATTTCAATTGCAAGTGTTTGTGTTCAAACACTTGAAATTGAAGTTTGAGTATGAAAGCTCTGTTAATTAAAAAGCTCTTTTAATTGAATGATTAATCCTAATCATTCAGTTAGGAGAAATTTTGGTATTATGTGAGCAGTAAACTAGAGCTAGTTAAGTAATGTTAAGTCTTTTAAGTCCAAATGGGAAATAACTGAATTAAATAGTCTTTGTTTCTTTGTTTTTGTGGTGTTAAGATGACTTGGAATGCAGTGCTTCCAGTTCTGTCGCCCTAGTTATGTCTAGTTCAGTTGGTTAAAAATGTGTATTCTTCTCCATCAGTCTGTTGTGTGACTACTGAATGCATTAATCACTGGCTGAGGAGTGCCTGGCATTACACTGCAGTTGCATCTTAGTGCATGCTGCCTTCAATGTACCAGAGACTTGTAGAACTGGTTTCTGCCAATTTTAGATTTCCTTGTTACGTGTATTGCTGTAACAGTTATCTGTCACTGTTTAAGTTGCTTTCTAAGAAGTCCAAACCTCAGCAACTTCTAAGGCCTTTACCTGGACTGAAATAAAAACAGATTAAAGTATTTATTTCCATAGATTATTTTCTAGTATTTTTGCAAATAGCTACATCTCAGTGCTATACTTATATTTCGCAGAATTGGAGTGTTATAGTAGGAACTAAGCCAACTTTCCAAGTTTGTCTGTACCACTGGTAGTATCTAAATTTGTCACATACAATGATTTCTGAGATAATTTTTTCTTTAAACCTTTTTTCCTACTGATCTTCAAGGTATTAAGAGAATACACAAGTGATGACATGAATGTGGCTCCTGGGGACAGAGTATGGGTCAGAGGATGGTTTCCTATTTTGTTTGAACTTTCTTGTATCATCAATCGTTGCAAGTTAGATGTTCGTACAAGGTAATTAAGCTTTTATTGTTTTCCTTTTTTCTTTTATTTTAATTAATTCAGTGAAGATATCACAGGAACAAATTTTAACATCTGTTCCAATGCTTGTTTGGGTTTGTTTATAGAGGCTTAACAGTGATGTTTGAAATCATGAAGAGTTACGGCCATACTTTTGAAAAGCACTGGTGGCAAGACCTGTTTAGAATTGTGTTTCGGATTTTTGATAATATGAAACTCCCTGAGCAACAAACAGAGGTAAAACAAAAAAAAAACCAAAAAACTAAAAAGCAAACATGCCCTAGAGTTAGTATTTTTAAGAACTTGCACATCTGAGTCAGCACTTTCTACTGACACCCCATACTGCCCCATACTTAACTAAACATATTCTATATTCCTTCAAATTCTGTGGCATGAATGAAACTTGCCACAGTATCCAGTGACCTGTGTGAGTGTCCATCTGATTCTTTTCAGGGAGAATGTTCTCCCTCTGTTGTGAACATGTGCAATTTTCTGACCAGTGTTCATGTGGCCAACTAAGTGCTTCTGACAAGACATCTGTGGTCATGAGGCTTTAGTTCGGAGTTCTCTCCTCAGAGCTGTCTCTTGTTGACCAGCCATGTGTAAGCAAAGTGTTGTCATCATGGAAGAATCCCCATAAAACAAAAGACTTTACATTTTCTGTCCCAGAAATCAGAGTGGATGACCACGACGTGCAACCACGCCCTTTATGCTATCTGTGACGTGTTCACACAGTTCTATGAAGCTTTGCATGAGATCCTTCTTCCTGACATACTTGCACAGTTACACTGGTGTGTAAAACAAGGTACCTTATTTACCTGTACCTTTTGATTAAATGTAGTTTTAAATGTCCATTACTTAAGAAGGGGAAGGTTAACTGAATTTTTGAAGAATGGAAGTTCCCATTATGACAATATGTGTTGCAGTAGATTGATGCAGTATCTTGAATATCTGAGCATCAATCTTTTTATTGACTTAGGCAACTTTTTTGTTACTGTGTTCATAAGGGGCTCATGGTATTTCTGTGACACAGCAAAAGCTTTTGGAGAACAGTGTCGATCTCCTGAACCTTCTGCCAATAACCTTTTGTGGTTTGACTGCAGTGATACATTACCTCCTTTGTTTACACATATAGATATGTGCATGCATTCTGATTATTTTTCTTTTTTCTTATTTTCTGGCACCTGCTTCCCCCCCTTCTGCCACTCAGCGAGTACTTCTAAATACAGCTTTGTAAAGAACATGTTTTCTTTCTGGCTCCAAGTCTTACACCTGAAATCCTGCATGTTACTACCATGGAATATGGGGGATGATCTTGCAGTAAATCCTAAGTTTCTGATTGCTGCTTTTCCTTCCTTTTTCTCACTCTGTGCTTCCCTTTTGCCTCTGCCCTGTCTTGTATCTTCCCTGGTTGGACTTCCACCTCTTCCATCTCATGAAGGCTATTTTGAAACTCTTTTTTTTAATTCAGTAGGTTCTTCAGCTTCATATTGTTGTAACATATTGTATAGGTAGGCTTTGAGCCAAGAGACTGTGCATTTCACAGTATTGCTAAAAATTTTTAATGAAGCAGTAATAGGGACTACTTAATTTTTCCTTGATATTGTAGAAGTTGATAAATATGGAACGTGTTTTGCAGATAATGAGCAGTTGGCACGATCAGGTACAAACTGCCTAGAAAACCTGGTAATACTCAATGGACAGAAATTCAGCCCTGAAGTCTGGGGCCAGACATGCAATTGTATGCTAGAAATCTTCAAAACAACTATTCCTCATGTGTAAGTTTATAAGTTTAATTCTTGTATTGATACCAAATTCTAAAGCAACAATATTTACACTTTTTGGTCTTTTTCGGTTTTGTTTTATTTTTTGTTTGATCTTTTGTTGTTGTTTTGTTTCTTTACTCTGTGAAGCTTGCTGACATGGAAGCCTGTAGGAATGGAGGAAGATTCATCTGAAAAACACTTGGTAAGAGTTAATTCAGGGTGATAAACTGACATGAAGAGTTTTTTGTTAGGTTAGCTTTTGAAATATTTGTTGTAGTCAATACTCTTGACAATTAATTGATAGTAGATTGTATTTGGTGTGTAGTGTTTTGGATTGCTGGAATTGCTCTGCACTCTCTTCTAGGATTTGGACCTAGATCACCAGTCTTTAAGCAGCATGGATAAAAATGCTTCTGAAAGAGGACAAAGCCAATATTCCAATCCAACAGATGAGAGCTGGAAAGGTGGTCCTTACACAAGTAAGGAAAACATACAAGCTTTTTCAATGCACCTTTATAGCCAGTCTTAATTAATTTCTGTAGCTCTCTACAGAAAGTTTTGGAGCAGTTAAACTTGAGATAAGTCTTTGCAATTTATGTTTATGCCTTGCAGTGAGATTTTCTCTTTAGAAGATAATTCACAGGATTACTAAATATAGAATTATTAAGAGGAATGTCGTATTTTGCTAGCCTGCTGTAAATGGATCATCATGAATTGCTTCTGAGACTTGTGTTGCTCCATTTCATTAGACCAAAAACTATTTGCTGGCCTCCTGATCAAGTGTGTGGTACAGCTGGAGTTGATACAGACCATTGACAACATAGTGTTCTATCCAGCAACAAGCAAGAAGGAAGATGCTGAGCACATGGCTGCAGCTCAGGTACCATCAGACTTACTTATAACCTTGGTGGCAGTAAAGTACAAACTATGGAATGTTCTGACATGTTCACAAAATAGAGTCTTCTTCTGATTTTTAGCATTACCCTGAATGTGTGTGTAAACTACTCTTTAAGTTGTGATTTTTTTTGTCTGCCTCCAGTGCTGCCTGGGGTCTGTCTGTTGTAGGATTGTATTATATTACTTCAATTTTTATTATCAATGTAATAGATTATAGTTGTTTTTAATCATGAATACATACTTCCAAAATTGGTTTTGTTTGTTTCGGAGAAAGCATTAATTTCTGCTCATTAGACTGAGTGTTGTCTTTTAGCCACAGTTGAGGCTCTGCTCAGTCTCTGGATGTTTGCACAGGAAATCTTGCAAAAGTTGAACTTCAGCAAGGTCAATGGTCAAGATTTCATTAATTGCCAACCTCAGAGATGTCCCTGTCCCTGCAAGTTCTTATTCTGGGTAGTAGTGCATGGTAGCTCTGTTAATAAAGCCATAAGCTGGAAGTTCTGGCTAGTACATTCAGGTAGTGTTTTGGGGATGTTATAGTTAAGTGAGTGAAGTGAGCTAAAAATATTGACCAATTTAATTAAATTTGACATGAGCCAAAGATGGGGAATTTCTACAGTAGGCAACATTTAAACCCACACTGTTTTTGTTGTTCATTTTGATGTTTTCAGAATTCAACAGACGTACCAGTCAGCTTCTAGAGAAGAGGAAATGTTCTCTACCATATTGCTGTAATTGACTGCAATGTTTCAATGTTTTCCCTCGCTCTTTGAGTTTTATTTTCTTATCAGTAACTAGGATAGATCATAACTTCTCTCTTCTCAAGTACCCCATTAAGAAGAGTACAGCTATGATCTTTGACAGGACTACCTTGCTGTGTTGTAGTGCACTTCTACTGCATTGCACTATAAATGGAATTAGAGTTACTGGAGTTTACAGCATGTGCCCTCTCTCTCTCTGTGTCCCTCTCCCCCTGCTCTTCAGCGAGACACACTGGATGCAGTTATCCACATTGACACAGAAGACCAAGGAATGTATAAATATATGTCTTCACATCACCTTTTTAAGTTACTGGATTGTCTGCAAGAGTCTCACTCATTTTCAAAAGCCTTTAATTCAAATTACGAGCAGCGAACTGTGTTATGGAGAGCAGGTGAGGCTTTTATTTTTATTTCATAAAAATGCTGGACTACACTTCTAGCTTTAAGTATCATGACACAACAATGTGCCATTGCAATCACCTTTAAAGTTTATTGGACAGTTGCATGCTTTTATTGCTAGTCTCCTTCCTGATGACTTGAGTAATTCTGTTTGCTAAATTATCTGCTTTTTTTGATTAAAGTAGAGCTGCACAGCTGGTACTGCTGTAGTTTAGTATCTTTATAAATAAATGAGAACTCAGTCAAAATCAAGGAGGAGGAAATACTGTCTGGACAAGAAATCGTTACTGGTTACTAGTGCAGATTTTGTTGATAAAATTTATTTTTGGCTAGTAACACCAGCTTTGGATGTTCCCTCTTGTCCTGTGTGGGACTAATTTCTAGGGTTCAAGGGTAAATCCAAACCCAATCTCTTAAAACAAGAGACCAGCAGCCTGGCATGCTGCCTGAGGATCCTGTTCCGGATGTATGTGGACGAGAGCCGGCGAGAGGCCTGGGACGCGGTCCAGCAGCGGCTGCTCAGGTGGGACGGGGAGGGGTGGCCACTCTGCACCCAAAGTTCACTTAGCAGGGAGGAAGCAATCTGCCCGGCCTAGGTGGAGCACCTTCTTGCCTGACATAGGCTTTTCTTTATGCAAGTGGTAGTGGCTGAATAGTTTTCCCGGCTGAGTACATAGTAATAGAGGTGTATAGGAGGATGCACTAATTGAAAAAGAGTGCAGTATAAGCTGCTGTACACCTGGAATTTAAACAAATGTAGAAAATAGCTCTAAATTAATATAAAAAGAGATTTTGGTGAGTTGGTACATAAAAGTCGGAAGTACTAGTCTCTTATCAAATATTAAGATCTTCCAGATTGCTCTTAGTACTAATACAGTGGATACTGATCTATCAGCATGTATGGACATGTTAATCTGTTTAGTCCTTCTTTAATTAAAAGTGTCCTGAAAATAACCATAGTAAGTAGTACAGTTTGTACCTTGTGTTGACAATCTGCAGCAGGGATCAAAAATTTATTAATAAAATAATAATTCTTCCTTAATGTGTGATGCTGAGCTGTGCAGATCTTTATTAAACCAGTCCAAATTTGGAGGGAGAGCTCTCTCGAGGTGCTGTTGCCTAAGCTGTCCCAATGTCAGGGTGAGGAAATAATGTTTGCAGGTTGAAAGTGACAGCACTTCAATTACAAAATGTTTATCAGGCAGATTAATTTTCCTTTTCCGTCTCTGTCATCAAGTATTTCCATTCAGTTATATGAAAAGTATTTCAGTTCAGTTACCTGGAACAATTCCTGTACCGGAAAAAATAAATTTGTGTAGTTAAATTTGTTGCATGTGATTGAAAACTTTCCCATGGAAGTGCATCTTGCTTGCAAACAAAGTACACTAAGAGGACAAACAGCATGTAAGCAAAAACTTTATAAGGGTTTTCTCTATGCTTTGTGTGAACTGTGCCATCTCTGTAGTGTGTGCAGCGAAGCCCTGGCATATTTTATTACTGTCAACTCAGAAAGCCACAGAGAAGCCTGGACCAATCTCCTGCTGTTGCTTTTAACAAAAACACTAAAAATCAGTGATGAAAAGGTAAGAAAGGCTGGAAGTAATGTCTGCATTTGGGTATGTTTTTCATTCCTTTTTCAGCCTGAATTCAGTCTTTATTTCTTTCTGTCCAGATTGGAGGTGGGCGGTTCCTCATAGTGAGCGCTTTCTGTGCAGTACAGCAGTGGCAGCTCCCCTGTCTGCAGGCATTCTGCATTGTGGAAATGGGGCTGCATCCATGCAATTCCCAGTTGCGTGGGAATGCAGATAGCATTACTGAACAGCTTTCATATAAAACCACAATGAGTGTGCAGGAAGGGACACTCTTATGCTGTATTACAGCTGCACAGGAATGGTAAAATTGGAATTCCAGTTTCCTTGACCGCAATGGCAAGAATAATTTTCAGGATCTTGGCTCTTTTGAAGAAAACCAAATATTCATGTTGCTACAAATAGACTCTGGTATTACCTGTGGGCTGAGAAATCACAAACCCTGACTCGGTTTAGGGGGTAAAACCAAAGCTCGCCCTGAGTGTGCTGCTGCCACAAACAACACGGAGCCCTTGGGCCCTGGGGAGGGCTTGGGTGAGACCTGGTGCTTTAACAAGTTGCTCTAGCCATGAATGTGTCAACACTTTTCTTTTGCTCTAGCAATCGAGAGTGACGTTCTGTTTCTGTATCTTGGCCAGTTCAGGGCACACGCTTCGGCCTATTACCCGTACCTGTGTGAGATCATGCAGTTCGACCTGATCCCCGAGCTGCGGGCGGTGCTGCGCAGGTTCTTCCTGCGCATCGGGGCGGTGTTCGACATCTGCGCCGCGGGCGAGCCGGCACGCGCGGCTGGCACCACCCTGCCCCCCTGGCAGTGAGGCTGCTACTGTACGGAAAGCTGTGTCCAGAGAGGGACTGAAGGGGATGGGGCAAATGGGACCCTGGTGTATCACCACAGGAGCAAGTTCTTCTTACCACAGTGGCATTTGGGAACGAGGAAAGTAATCCTGTTCTGTCCATCCTACGGAAGTGTCAGCAGTTTTATTTAAAGTATTGCTTACAGAGTCAATACAGTAGGTGTGCAGTCTCTTTGTTTCAATGCTAATCATTTGTATGATCCAGTATGTCTCTTTGAGTCTTTTATGCACTGCTCAGTCTTTCATCCCAGCTAGAGCTGATAAATCAGCTGTATCTCTCCACAGAAGTTATGCCCCTTGGAACTAATGGCTGTATTTGTGTAGCCTCGTGATGTTGGCAAGTGTTCATAATAAACCTGACTGTGGTGGCCAATGACCACCCGAGACCCCTTTGGGTTTTCCTTTATGTCCAGGACCAGGCCAGGCAGGGCACTGGGCTATTGAAGTGGACAGCCTGGAGGATATTCGGAGAAGGTTTTCCTCCTGTTTAGCAAATTATGTAATTTTTTTTAATATCAGTACTGCATCTTCTGAGACTTAGTTTTATGGGAGATTTTACATCAGGAGCACCAATAGCATCTATTCCTTTAGCTTATTAGGCTTGAGTTAAAGGCATTTATAAAAAGAAAAGGCTTTCCTTTTCATTTCATACATTGGCAGATGATAGAGCATAAACAGGAACATCAGAAACAAGGCTCAGAAGAAATAAACTCACCTTTTTGACCCTTGAATATAATTTAGCAGTAATGGTGACTGCTTAGCAGTAAGTCCAATCCTTAACACAAGTTGGTCTCTAGATCTGCAGATTCAGAGACAAGTTCTAATTTGTCATTTTATTCAAATGATTTTTGTTTTTAACACTTGGTTCCTAGTGGCATCTAAAAACCCTGAATTTCAAAAAAACTGCTCTAGCAAAATTAAACAAGTTCATTCACATGCTTTAAATTAACAGCATAATTCTGTGCTTTGAAGGACTTCTGTGAAGCAAAATGTGACATGACACCACAACTTTGCTTGCCCCAGAGAGATTTCTTTCTTTCCTTGAAATGCAACAGGTTTCTGTGACAATGTTTCTATGACAGGATGCTGTCTTGACCTTTGAAATAATTTTAAATTTCAAGTTTCAAGACATTTCTAAACCAGGAAAGTATGGCAGGATGGGAGGAGAGGCTCCACTTCCTAAATTAATGCAAAGTAGTATTAGCTGCTGTGCTATCCAGAGTAGCAAATCTAAAATATTAACAGTATTTAAAGAAAAAAACAAACCGACGAACAGCAACAACCTACCTACTTGAATGGAACTAAGTGTATAACATTATTTTGTTTTTTGAGTTGACTTTCCTGGTAGGATGGCCACAGGTGAGGTTGTCCTGGGATATGTTGCTCTGAGCTGCTGGGAATGTGCTGTCTTTGGAGGGTTTTTTTGGTTGTTTGAGGTTTTTGTTGTTTTTTGTGATATTTTTCCAAAGGGTTTTTATGGTGTTCCTGAATACATCAGTTTGTCCTGTGTAAGCATTGTTTGGGAAAGGTTTTACAGTCAGTAGTAGTGACAAAGCTTTCACAATTTATTCTTACTTTTTATTTTTAACCAAAGAAGAGTGATAGTTGTGGCTCTTTGACTTTTAAATGCCCTTTAGGTTAAATCTATACACTGCTGTTTAGTAGAAGGGAGTGAATGGCTGTATGTAACAAGAGGAGAAGCCTGAAAAAATACGCAACGCTGGTATTTACCTTGCTGCATTTGAAATATCCTTTTGTGTGTTTGCATCTCCTGTAGCTGCTCATTCTCTGGGAATGTCACTGCAATTGGGTACTGCAGAAAATGAAGTATTTATTTTAATTCTATTTAAATCTGTAATAATATGCTATTCCTTTTCATCTGGTCCTAGGTAGTCCTAAGGAAAATATTTGAACCATTATTTTTCAGATTTGGAATGTGTCACTGCCTCATTGAATGTGTTCCCTCATGTCCCATCAGACACACCTAGCCCAGCTGCATGTTTGAAAGCCCTACAGTCATGCCTTGGAAAAAGTCTCAATTTTGAGGTCTTAAATGACTTCACAGTTGCTTCACGGGCTTCCTTTACTGTAAGGGGCAGCATTTGTAGTCTCTCTCTGCACATAGGATGAGGATATTTAATCCATGCTTCCCTTCAGCCTTTGGTCTGAGACGGTTCTTAAGAAAAGCTTTTGTTGTATTTATAGCAGTTACAAAGCATCTGGGTCTGCAGTGCAGGGAGGAGAAGGGGCCTGGATGCAGTTGCACTGTCAGAGCCCAGTCCTGTCCTGTTCCTGCAGCAATAATCAGGCTGTGTTCAGCTTGCTGCACAGCACTTTTGGCTTTTCCCGAATCGGGAAGGGCCAAACCCACCTCCATCCCTCCCTGTGAAGCTCAGCCCTGGCGGTTCCGCCACGGCTGTGCGGGAGCAGGAATGTGCAGGGAGGGAGGCAGGGAGAGAACACAGCTCTTGGCCGGGCTGTGCAGCAGAGCAGCTGCAGCTCACCCACTGTAGGAGCATCAACCCTGCAGCTGCAGCTCACCCACTGTAGGAGCATCAACCCTGCAGCTGCAGCTCACCCACTGTAGGAGCATCAACCCTGCAGCCTCCGTGGGCTTTGCTGTTTGAGTCATTCCAGGTCTCCAGGGAGGGGAGGAGCAGAGGAGGCTAACAAGGAAAACCCTAAACCCTCCCTTTGGTGGAGATTAAAAACTCACTTCATGTTGCTTCTATTGTGTCTTACCGTCCAGGAAAAGGTTGTTTCTACAGGAGTTTGTTATCCTTGTCTGGTACTTCACATTCTAAACTCTAAACAGAACAATCTAAACCAATGTCCACTACTAGAGCCGACAACCCCCAGAGTTTAGCTCAGTCTTACTATTCAGGAAAAATGTTAAAAATAGTTAACTCTGTCAAAAGTGCATCTCCCTTCAATCTGTAACTTCAGTTTCTTCAGCACCTTTGTTTAAAATGTATGTTTTCACATATTTAAAATGCCTGAGTTTTAATATCTCTGTATTAAGTGCATTTACTATCAATAATTTAAAGACTATTCCTTGCCAATGGATGTATAGAGTTCTGAGAGAATACCAAAATTATATAATATTAAAAACTATGTAAAGTTTTCTACATGAAAATACGATGTATAATAGTTATAATATTCCATGCTTTAATCAAGTGATAAACCAATAAAGTTTTACGAAGTGTTCCTTTTTTGTTCAGGTGCTTCCTTAAGCCGCTCAGGGGCTTCGGCGCCACTCCGGCTTCTCTGCGGGGCCGAGGGGCTCTGGTTCTTGTTTTATACCACGGGCCGTGTCCTAGTCCTTGCTCCGGCGCGGGGCCGGGCCCGTTCCCGTGACAGGGCAGGGGCTGCGGCCGGGCTCCGGGCCCCGCTCCCCCCGTGCCGGGGCTCCGGCCAGGCCCAGCTCTCCCCCAGCCGGGCCCCGCGGCTCCGGGCCCCGCTCCCCCCGTGCCGGGGCTCCGGCCAGGCCCAGCTCTCCCCCGGCCGGGCCCCGCGGCTCCGGGCCCCGCTCCCCCCGTGCCGGGCCTGGGGCGGACCGAGGCCGCCGCGCTGCCAGAGGCGCCGCGGGGCCCTGTGGGAAGCGCCCGGCCATTGGCCGCCGCCATTGAGCGCGGCGCGGATTGGCTGTCGGCGGCGCGCTCGGGTCGGCGCGGGCGCTGATTGGCCGGGTGGCAGCGCGATGCCACCGCCCCGCGCGATGCGGTCACGGAGCCGCCGCCGCGCCCTCGCCCGGCGGTTTGAATGTGAAGCGCAGCCGGAGCGCTCGGAGCCGCCGCCGCCGCCGTCGTGGGGGAGCTGCCAGGTAAAGCCGGGACGCGCTGCCCCGCACGGCGATGGCGCCGGGGCGGCCCCGCGCACCGGCGGCACCGCGGCCGCCCGCGCGCCAACTCCGCGCCGCGCTCGGCGCTGGGCCCGCGGCGCGGCCACCGGCGTAGCGCACCATGCTGGGCCCTTCCGCCCGCCCCTCGCGGGCCCCCATTGGTCCGCGGCCGCGGGGCCTGCACAGCCCGCGCACCTCATTGGCTGCAGCCGCTGCCAGTCCGGGCTGCCGCGGCGGACGGGGACAGAGTTGGGCTGAGGTTCCGGGGCCGCTCGGGACCTCGCCCGGCCCCGGCCCCGCCGCCCCGCACGGCCCGGCACGGCCCGGCCCGGCCCCGGGGCTGCTCTGCAGGGCCGCCGCAGGAGCCGCGCCAGCGGAGCAGGCGCGGTCCGGCCCGGGATGGACGGAGCCGTCCCGGCCCTCCCGCGGGTGAACGGCCCGGCGGGAGCGGGGCCAGCCCCGCCGCAGAGCCGCGGCTACTCCGGCGCGGCCTCACCCCATGGGGAGCAGCGGGCGCGGGGCTGCTCCTGCCGCGGGGCCGTGCTGCTCCCGCCGGCCTTGGCGCTGCTGTGCCGGCCCGCGCTCCGGGGCCGCAGGGAATGCCCCCGGGAGCCCCCGAGCTCTCAGGAGGGTTTCCCCATCAGCTCCGGGCCCTGAGCGCCCTGCGGCACCGGCCGGGTGCGCTCCGTGCTGCCTGAGGCCGTGCAGTTCTGTGAGGCTCTGCCCGGTCCGAGCCCCGGGGCACGGCCGCGTTCTGTGGCTGTGCGCTTTTCTCTGGAAGCGGTGTGCATTGGTTTGCCTAAAGTCGGTGATGTTCAAGCACGCTTTATGGGTTTTCTGAGGCCTGCAACCCAGAGCATCATACCACCCCAGCTAAAGTATCACCCGTGTTTTTCGTACTGGAAAATAAACATGAAGAGCTAGAGGAAAGAGAAGGAAATAAACATATGTAGGTAACAGGTCAAAATATTTTGGTGGATGTGAATTGGTGAACAAGAATACGGACCCCAAAAGTAAACCCCAAAAGCACAGGAAAACATAGGCGAGTACTGTTCAGGTAGATTTTTACTTCTTGCAAAATATGTTAGGATCTGATTTGGTTATTAACATTAATTTAATTCAAGGGGATACTGCTGCTGTCTTTTAAAATTATATAGATGCCATAACTGACATAAAAATTGTGTCATTACAACTCGCTGCCTTTGCAAGCATGTTTATACAGAACTGCTTATTGTGCTGGTGATCAGCATGAAACATCTCCAAAACAGGACAGGTAAATTTCAGTCAGTTGTACTAAACAGAAACTCCAGAGAAAAAATGGAAACCTTTGCTTCCTCATAGCCTTTGTTGGGAGTGAACTGTGCTGCTGGTGATGAGAAGGACGGGCAGGATTGATGATGATGTCCAAAGGAACATCTCCATTAAAGCACATCTTACTGTCATAGTATTGCTGTAATGTTAATTCTTCCAGTGCGGGCTGTGAAGTAAATATATAACTGTGGTACAGATAAGAATATGTGTGGGAGGATTACTAGAGAGGACCAATATGGATTTATTCCAGAGTTACTCTGTAAAAAGTATTGCATTTAAATTAGCTCCCACCCTAGTCTGAACTAATTTTACAGGGAGGATAAACTAACTGGCTTTGCACAGTCTTTTGTGTCTTTTTTTAAAAAAATATTTTCTTTTGAGATTTTTATTTAATAATGAATATTTGATTTTTTTTTGAAAAAGCTTTGACTCTTCAATACACTTTGAAGTGTTTTATTTACAATTATGTAGGGCAGGACTGTTCAGCTGTTTCAGTCAGGAGCAGTTTCTGGGGCTGGCAGCAGAACAAAAACAGAACCAAGTTCCTGTTGTTCTGAAAGGGCAAGAGATCATCTTTTGGCTGTACCTGGTGCATGTCTACAGGATGCATAAACCTTTTCTGGAGTTTGAGGTCCATAAACCAGAAACTAACAGTTACCTGTAGCTTGACAAGTGGGATGTTTGCTGTGCCTGGAGCACCCTGGTTGGGACTGTGCTTGTGAAGTATTGTCCAAAAGAGCTGATGTTTCTTCTGTGGGATCTGGTTTTAGATGGGTAGTTTTAGGACATATTTTCTGATCTCTGGTTGTAACAGAACTACTTGTGGGTTTTAGGTTCTGCCAGAATGGAGCTCAGTGATGCCAATTTACAAACTTTAACTGAATATCTAAAGAAAACACTAGATCCAGATCCTGCTATAAGGCGTCCTGGTAAGTGTTTCTCATGATTGAGAACAAAAAAGTTCTGTTTCTTTTTGTCTCTCCTGTCTCTGTGTACCAAATTTCAGTGGATATTTATGCAATTACCTCTTTACAGTAAAGTTCTCATTTTAAAATGAAACCCCAAAAAAACTAATGAAGGGTGGGTATAAATAGAAGTAATTTTACCTGTTTTTTGTGATTTTGTTTTTCTGTATTGTTGCTTTTTTTTCACTATTGTTATTTAAAGCAGTGCTGCTGTTCCCAACAAGTCAGGATTTACTTCTCTCAGGTTATGGCTTTTCCAAGGGTGAGGAGGCAGAATTTCCCCATCCTGCTGGGGATCCAGAGCTGTTGTTGAGGCAGGAGTGGTGAGGAGCTGGGAGCAAAGAAGCTGTGATACCTTTTGTCAGACATGTTGCTGTGAAGCTCTGCGAAGTGTTTGTGTTGGGTATTTTAAACAGCCACTTGAGTAATCATAGGATTCCTGTTAGAGAAAGCAGTTGAGCTGTTGCTGACCGCAGTGTGTTCTCTTTCAGCGGAAAAGTTCCTTGAATCTGTGGAAGGAAGCCAGAACTACCCACTGTTACTCTTAACACTGCTGGAGAAATCACAGGAAAATGTCATCAAAGTTTGTGCATCTGTAACATTCAAGAATTATATTAAAAGGAACTGGAGAATTGTAGGTATCCTAGTGAGGAAGTGTGCTAAGAACCAGTCATCCTTTTAGGGTACAATATGCAGATCCACATCCCACCCAGCTCCGTGTCATCTGTGAACCTACTGAGGGAGCCCTTGATCCTCATCCAGATCATTAGTAAAGATATTAATCAGCCCTGACCCCAGGGCAACCCCATTAGTGACTGATGGTATAGATAAGCATATCTTGGACTTCTGAAATTGCTAACTTTTGCTTATGTGTGTGGAAGGATGGTAAAAGGGATGTGAGAAGGGTACTGGTACCATCAGGTTTAAGGTATCTCAGGATTGAGTGTCTCCCTGGAGGTGCTTTTCTCTTTTAATTGTTGGATGATTTCTAGGTCTCTGACACTGGTTGGGACGAGCCACCTCATTATTTTATTTCTTTAGTAGTATTTTGCAATTTCTACTGTTTGGCACTGCTGACTGACTGCTGGTTTGAACTGGTTAGATAACTTAAAGTCAATGTTAGGGTTTTGATTGTGTAACCTGCACCTTCATGTACAGTCTCTAGAAAGGATGGCTTGAGACAGCTCACACAAAATCAATTTGTGGAGTTGGCAGAAGTGCTGTTTGCTGTGGTGGAAGAGGAGACTTGGTTAAATGTGGGGATTTTATTGCCGTGTGCACCCACCCTCACTGCTGCTCAATTGCTGACCTGAAAAGTTAACCATAGGGAATAGAAAAAAATCTTCAAAATTTTGCAGAAGGACATTATTTCTTTCAGCTTTTTTCAGATACTGCTGTTCCAGATTCATTGGAGGCAGTGTCTCTAATTTGCTGCTTAGGTTCTTCAGCATTGTAATAATTACATAAATCAGTATAAACAGTTGTTTTCTGAAATGCTGGTCATCTCTCATTGCCTGGAGTATGTTGATATGCCCGTAACTTAATTATTGTTTTCATTTTAGGTTGAGGATGAACCAAACAAAATATGTGAATCAGACAGAATAGCCATTAAAGCCAACATAGTGCCCTTGATGCTTAGCAGCCCAGAACAAATTCAAAAGCAGGTAATATGTCATTTCTGGTTGTATCCATGAAACTTTGGGAATATTCTAAGCATGTCTAGAAGCTATGGTTATTGGCAGAGGTCAATTCCCTTACCTCTGAGCTCAAGCTGATCAAAATAACTTGGAGGCTATTGTGACAGGTATTTCTACCTACTTTAACATTTTTTAAAGATGATTACTGTAAAATCTTATAGTTAAATTCTAACATCAGCAGTTAAACAGCAATTCTAGAAAGCGAGACTGTGTAAGTTTAAGGTGAGATTTTTGTAGCTACTTAATCCGGTGATTTTTGAATGGGGCAGGCAGAACCAGGATTTTCTGGGATGTGGGCAGCCTCTGGCAGAGCTGCTGCGTGCCGTTCTGTGCCGTGACGGCTCCGTTTCCTTTGCAGTTGAGCGATGCCATCAGTATCATTGGGCGGGAAGACTTCCCTCAGAAGTGGCCAGACCTGCTCACAGAGATGGTGAATCGCTTCCAGAGCGGAGATTTCCACGTCATCAACGGCGTGCTGCGCACCGCCCACTCTTTATTCAAAAGGTACTGGAAATAAGGGAGTTTGTGTGTGGATGCTGAAAGTTCTGTTCAGCTGGCATGTTTTGCTGTTAGACTTTGTTTTGGACATTTACAAAAGCCAACGGTTGTGACTTCTACACATACCTTTTAAAGTAGTTATCAAATTGTACCCCTTGCATGGTTTTGAACCATGTTGTTTAGTTCCTGTTTACTTTACAGTATTTTTTTCAAGGTTCAGCACAAGACAAAATTCTGTGTGAATTACTTTGGTAATAAATGCTATTCTGTTTTTCATGTGTTTTTCTCTTACTTATCAGGTACCGCCATGAATTTAAGTCAAATGAATTATGGACAGAGATCAAACTTGTTCTTGATGCCTTTGCTTTACCCTTGACAAATCTCTTTAAGGTATTTCTTGTTGAGTCATTTCTAAAACAAGTTTAATGTTCTGAGTTACTTGCTGTGCATACCTTTAAAATTAAAACTCAAGAATTGTTGTTTGAAAGTCTTAAAGGGGTTCAGATTCAGGGCATGAAGTGAGACCTAACAAGATTGATAAGAGGATGAAAACTAACCATATTTTCTTCTTAAAAAAAAACATTCCATGACACTTTTCAGTATTTTTTATTGGTGTGGGTTTTGTACTTGACAGTCTTGCATCTTTTTCTAGGCAACTATTGAACTTTGCAGCACGCATGCAAATGATGCCAGTGCCCTGAAGGTTCTCTTCTCTTCTCTCATTCTAATTGCGAAGCTCTTCTACAGTTTAAATTTTCAGGTGAATCTCCTTGTTCTTGGGATAGTTTTACTTTGTTCTGAAGAAGCTGGTACTATAGAAATCATTTGAGGCAGCCTTTAAGGCCGTGCTTTATGGCAGAAAGAAAAATCACCAGTGCATCTGCTGAAGTAAAAGCACAGTAAGGAAGTATTATTTAAGACATTAGCTTGGTCCTATGTAAACACAAGTTCAAGAGAGTCTGAGTTGGCGCTGCTTCAAGGAGGTGTCCTATGAGGCCTATGAGAAGGGGCTGGGAAAGGCAGGAGTCCAATGCCTGAGTTTCTGTTCACTTTGCCCCTTTATAAATGTGCCTGTAATGACAGGAGCTGGGTCATGTAGGTGAGAGTCCGTTAGTGTAGCTCTGTGGCACTGCAGGAGCAGTAATTCTGGGAGCAGTGTGTGTTGTCTGGCTTTGGAAGCAGATCTCCATTTTGGACATTACTAAGTGTGCTCTGTGGGAAATAGTAAAAAGCTCCCTTGCTGAGGTGACATTTATTTAGTGTTTCAACATGAATGTAAGTGTGAAGTGGAATTGTGCCTGGATTCCTTGGGCTGCTCTGCCATAGGGAGCAGAAGAAAAAGCTGAAGTTAAAAAAGACTTGTGCTCTCTTGTTCTGAGAGAGAGAGGTGATAAGGCTCATTAATTATAAAAATGTGAGCAGTTTAGAGTCTAATCAACTAGTTTATTTGTAATTTGTACTCCAGGGCTCTGCCAGAACAGTTTTCGTTTGGGAGGAGGAAGGGGCACTGTTTCAATTTGAAGATTGTTTTCCACAGGTTATTGTCCCTCAGTAGATTATAAGGTGGATGCACCACTTCAGTGTAGGTATGTTATCTAAGCAGTGCAGTCAGAAATTAAAATGTAGATATATGCTTTTCTTTCACAGGATCTTCCTGAATTTTTTGAAGATAACATGGAAACATGGATGACAAACTTTCATAGCCTTTTAACTTTAGATAATAAACTCTTGCAGACTGATGTAAGTACTGCATAAACCACCTGGTTTGCATCTGTAGGGGAGAATGTGGACTGACAACTTAGGTCTAATTATGAACAATGCAGTGTTTTTTTGTTGGGCAAACAAAGGAATAGAATGACTGCAATAAAATGGAGTTTAAGAGAAGTTGCTCTGCTGTCTAAGGAATTTGAGGTTCAGTTCTGCAAGCTGTGACAGTTCCAGCTATGCACAGAAATTAAATTACCCATACTCTTCTGAGTTGATTCTTTCCAGAAGAGCTGCTGAAGTAACCTGACCGTTAGCATCACAAGGCTCAGGTTTTCTGTATCTGTCAGCTGGTTCTAGAAAACAGGGTATCTTAAAGAACTTGAAACAAATTGAACATAGAGGGCAGGACATCTCTCAAGTACTTCAGTATTTGCTGTCTTGGTCTAGTTAAAGAATGAGTAATTTCACAGGTGAAAGCTGATACCAGGTCAGCAAAACTCCAGTTACTTTTGTGCGTGTTTTCTGCATTTTAAGTGCTGATGTCTTCCATCATCACAGCATGACATCTCAATAGTTTGCCACTTGATGGAGCCAAAACAACTCTATAAATTTCTTGACAGCACATAGGGAGGCATATTAAGTGTATGTTGTGCTCTAGTTACCCTTGTGCTAAAAGAAGCTCTGCTGCTCTTTTGTCTTGTGTCTGTGGGCTGCTCCCAGCACGAGCACTTGTGCAGCTGAACTGGGACAGGCAGTAAAGCTGAAAGGTGCGGGTGGGAGGGAAGAGGGGCAGACAGAGCTGGGGTGGTGTTTGCTTGAGTTGTTTTTTTTAATTCCAGTTCAATTTCCCAGTTCACATTGTGGTTCCATGAACATCTGTGATCTGGGGAAGGGGAGGGAACTTTTACAACTATTCCAATTAAAGAATCATGATGTAGTGGCTTTTAAGTGTATTTTTCGATGCCTTGTGTTGTCTTTTTCGTATTATTTGTAAATTAATTTTATGTGAATTATTGTGTCTGTTTCCAAGTACATAGTACTTGATATGAAATGTAGGTATGATTTCTAACTTGAAAAGCAGTTTGGGTACAGATCAGCAAAATACAGTATTCTAGAGACAATGAAAAGGATTTCTTCACCTGTTTGGGACATGGTAAAACGGTGATGTAAATATTTAATGTAAATATATTGATTCTTCTAATGTTCAAGTAGTGTTGAAGTTTGGATGTTCAAGTTCTTAGTTTTGTTTTATGTGAGGATGAAGAGGAAGCTGGATTGCTGGAGCTCTTGAAATCACAAATTTGTGATAATGCCGCTTTATATGCTCAAAAATATGATGAAGAATTCCAGCCCTACCTGCCACGTTTTGTAACAGCAATCTGGAATCTGTTAGTCACAACTGGCCAGGAAGTGAAGTATGACTTGGTGAGTTGCTAAAATCTGATCTTATCAAGTGTAATAATAAATCATAAATGGATCAGTCATGCTAAAATTTTGTCTTCTGTTTGTGGTGCTATAGCTGGTCAGTAACGCCATCCAGTTTCTGGCCTCAGTTTGTGAGAGACCACATTACAAGCATCTGTTTGAAGACCAGAATATATTGACAAGCATCTGTGAAAAAGTTATTGTTCCCAATATGGAATTTAGAGGTAACTTTTTGAGACTTAAATTTTGAAAAACACAACAAAAATCTAATTATCATGGCATGTTGCTTTGCAGGACTAAGAATTGAGGACTCCTTCTTGTGTACCTTAGTGCCAGATTCAAGCCCAAGTTTCTGCAGCAGATTGCTGTCCTGTGGGCTTTGTAGGGTTGTATGATTATACCTAACTTTTCATGTTGAAATCTCAGTGGAGGAAGTTTAGGTCATGTGCCACCAATAAATTTCTACAATTAAAGTGAGTATCTGAGTAATTCAAGGAGCCTAAATAGGCAGGAATATCAGGCCTACCAAACTGTAGTGTTTAGTTCTCCAGGTTTTGATGCTCATACTGATCCTTTATTTAAAATGCAGTAAAAATATATTGCAGTGATAAGAAACTTCTCTCTTTTAAGTCTATGACTCTGAAAGTCTCTTCAAATACATCTGGTGTTGAATATGTGTTGAGGTTTTTCTTAGAATCAACACATCAGCCCCTGGGTATGAAAGACTAATTTATGGGACAGAAGCTAAACAGACTAGTCTGGCTGGATATTTCTTGTTAATTAATATTAATGTTATAGGAAGGTTCTTGGAAAAAATAGCAAGTTGATAATGATAGACCCTGTTACTATAAAAACCAGAGACTTCAGTACTTCAACTTTCATGTATTTTGTATTTTCAGCGGCTGATGAAGAAGCATTTGAAGATAATTCTGAAGAGTATATAAGAAGGGATTTGGAAGGATCTGGTAATCCACAGATTTTTATTAAGAATACTTGGTCTTTAAATATAACTCTAAAGAGCTGAAGCAATTTATTGAAGCTTTTATAACTTGATTTTGAAATTGAGAAGGTTTCCACACACCACCCCCAGCTGCATTTTATCTAGTCTGTGATCAAGTCTACTGTCATGATATGCTTGTCACAGTGTCTTTCTGATTTGATCAATGTTTTTGTAGGGCTTTTTTCTCAATTGGATTGGTATGTCTTCTGCACTGCCCACATTCTCATCTCAGCAAACACAGCCTGCGAGTCAATGCTGAGTAGTAGCCAATTGTGTATTTAGTTCCTATGTGTGGAGTTTTAAGTAACAGGGAGAGACTCTTGATGCTGAGGCTGAAATTCTGCCGGGGTTGCACACAAGCTGTGCTCAGGCCAGCTGGCCAGCAGCCAGGCTGGGACGTGGCATGTGTTCAGAGCAGTGCCTGCCCTGGGCCACGGCTGTGCCGGCCCAGCTGCTGCAGGGCTGGGGGAGTCTGTGCTCTGCAGCCAGGCCAGAGCCTCAGGGAGCCAAACCTGCCTCTGTGTGACAGGCTGTGCCACCAGCACTTCACTGACAGACACCTCTGAAGTGATGGCATTTTGTAATAGATTGAAGAAATTATTGTATGCTTGCAGTGGAGGAGAAAGTTCGAGGAAATCTTTTTGAACTTTTTTCAAGAAAACATTATTCTTATCCGAGAGTGGCTGTATTTTAGGTGTTTGTGAAGTTTTTTACAAAAAGGTACTGTCAGATGTGGTGGGCCAATAGCTGGCTTGTGCTCCAGCCTGCTGCAGTCTGATGGGGGCGGGAGGTGAAAGTGAGAAGACTGATGGATAAAGGCAGTTTAAGTGAAAGACAGAGTAAGGAAAGGGGAGAGAAGTTAGTGACTCACCACTGCCTGCAGGCAGATTTTTGCCCAGCCTGTCCCTGAGCAATGGCTACTTCCCCCAGACCTCCTCCCCCCCAGCTGGGTTTTTATTGCTGAGCATGTCATACAGCATGGAATGTCTTGCTGGTCACTTTGGATTAGTTGCCCAGGTTGTCCCCTCCCAGTTCCTTGCCTGCCCCAAATGACTTGCTGGGAAGGCAAAGCAGGAGGAAGAGGAAGCCCTGACACTGTGACAGTGCTCTTCAGCCGCAGCAAGCCCTGGGTGTTGCCAGCAGCTTTAGCCACTGGTACAGAACACGGCACTAGGACGATAATGAACTCCCTCCCAGGCAGAGCCAGTACCTTTGGATGCATAATGCCCAGCCCCTCTGCATGCCTGCTGCACTGCTCAGGGGCAGGTGTCCCTTCTCCTTGGCAGTCCAGTTGTGACAGTGAATAAAAGGATTACAGGTGTTCTTACACAGCAGTATGGAGGGTTGCAATAATTAACATAACTTGAGAAGCTGTTACTGTTTTGATTATTATGTTTATTAATATGAAAAGCTGTCTGCTTTGTCATATCCTAAGAATCTTTGGTTCTCATGCAGATATTGACACCAGGCGCAGAGCTGCTTGTGATCTGGTCAGAGGCTTGTGCAAATTTTTTGAAGGACCTGTGACAGGGATTTTTTCTGGATATGTAAATTCTATGCTGCAAGAATATGCAAAGAATCCGTCTGTTAACTGGAAGCACAAAGATGCAGCCATTTACCTTGTAACATCTTTGGCATCCAAAGCTCAGACACAGAAGGTACTTGTACATTTTATTCTTTGTAATCTGTCCGCATTCAGATATTGCAGTGCAGATGAGGCCTGCTGCTCATTTAAACTGCTTCAAGAGAGGGAGTAACTGTGTGTGCAGTAGTTGATGTTGATGAGATGAAAAGCTGCCCTTTATATAATTGTGTCACAGCTGGTGCTCTCTGACCTTCAGGTAGATGGGGCACAGTGTGGCCCTGTGGCTGGCGTGTGACATCCCGCCAGCCAAAGAAACAAAACTGGCTCAGCTCTGGAACCTCTGAGCTCTGAGTGGTCCTGAGGCACTCTGGAAGCCATGGAAGGCAAATAGGGCTTTACAGAAGATGATCAGATGTGTTAAGCAGACTAAAAGGAATTTAAGTGACTCTTGGAGTTCTTGATATTTCCCAATATTTCCTGCTACTTGAATGTTTAATTTGTGAATGACATGTGAATGCTAATGACGGCTGGAAATGGATCTTGTTACTTGCTGATAGGCTGGAGACACTGAAAAAGCACAGGTGGGCTAACCTGTATTTTGAAACAGGAGCACTGTATCAAATGTCCAATGGAACAAGTTAAGATGTACTACTAGATCTTTTAAATGCTGTTACAGTTCAAATCTCAGTGTCTTTACAAGACAGATTTGAGGCAAACATAGTAAAATGTGTACATGTCTTTATGCAATTTTGCTGAAGGTTCTCAGTCTTTTCCTGAAGCCAGGTGTATACTGCTGCCCAGCAGTTTTTAGTGATGTGTAATGGGAGCATTTGGGAAACTGCAAACTTTGTGTCTTTTTCTATGCTATTTGATGGCAAATATGAACTAATTTAGAACACTTAATTGAAAAATCTCCATATAAAAATCCTGGTTTAAAAAGAGGTTGCATTTCTTATAAAAGAAAACTAATAGTAATTTTTTAAAATTAGCGAGACAACTAGCAGCTTATATGTCAGAATATAAAAATACAAGTTGTTTTTTGCTTCTTCTAGCACGGAATAACACAGGCCAATGAACTTGTTAATCTGACAGAATTCTTTGTGAATCACATTCAACCTGACTTAAAGTCTGCTACTGGTAAGTTAATGTTAATTTTGATAGGGTATTTTTGTGATGTATCATAGCCTTGACAGTGGCCATTGTTGAAGTCTCAAGCACTTCTTTATCAGCAGATTCTCTGAGATGGGCTCTTAACACCTGGCCCAGAGTAATTCATTTTTGTGTGGCCAGCAGTGAAGGAGCTGTTACACCAAGGTGGATTGCCACCTTACCACCTGCTCTCTGCAAGATCAGAGCATGTATACACATGGTTGCTCTCAGCTTCATGCTTAACTTGCTGAATCAAAGTAATTTGATTTCTGTATTTGAGACCTTATGGCAAACCTCTGTGCTCTATAAAACCCTGAGAAGTTAAAATACTGATGCTGTATTGATGAGGTTGTGGATGTCTAGATTTAAACCACAGGGTTTATTTTATACTTCAACAATTATCTTACAACAGCTGAAGCATAGTGGGTTGTCTCAAAATGTGTAATTGAAGGCTGCTAAAATTGAAACCAGAAAATGAGATTTCATCTGAGCTGGACTGTACTTTTAATGGTATTGTGATGTGATTTGTTCCTAAAACTGATATTCTAGCAGTGACCATACGAAAGTACAGGAACTAAGAAATGTAGAAAAACATTGTCTGTATTATTTTCTACAGGGGAAAATTATTACTTAGTGACAATTGTCACTTGTATATTTAGTATATGTTCAGTAATTGCATTTGTATGAGAAGTATCAATGAAGTTTGCATATTTTTATGTTTCAGTGAATGAATTCCCTGTGCTAAAAGCAGATGGTATCAAATATATCATGATTTTTAGAAACCAAGTAAGTTTTTCTTTCACTCTTATAGAAAAACATATTGTAGGTTGTTACTTTATACTTGCCAAGCCTAATTTATCACACTTGGCCATATGCTAACTCAACAGGTGTTTGATAGTCATATACAACACTTCATGCTGAATTTTTAGTTTAGAAAGTAAATGACATTGTTATAAATATCCAATTAACATGTAGTCTGTGTACTGTCCATATGCTGTGGGAACACTGAATATCTTAGCTGCTTAATTCTGTGACACATTCAGATGTTTCCAAGTCATTGTTAGTCCAAATACCCTTGATAGCTTGTATCATTGCAGTAATTGTTACAGAGTACAGCAGTTTTGTCCTTTATCTTTTCTGATTCATGAGATGGGGTGAGAAAGTATGTTGCATACTATTCTAAATTCTAGATTACCTTTATTTATTTCCTATGAAATAACCATGATACTGTTTTTTTAAACCTTGATATTTTTGATTACCTATTAAGACAAAGTAAAATGGGAAGGGAAATACACATTAGGATTATCTGCACTTACTGCTAATCCAGTGTACTGTTGGTGTTCAGGGGAAGTATACAAGCCATGACAGAAGTAGGTACGTCCTGGTTGTCAGGATGTGAAGGAGCAGCAGGAGGAGCCTCCCAAGACACCTCCCTCTGCCAAGCTCTGCGTGTTACTGATGAGCTTGGCTGTGCTCTACAGCTGAACCATCTGTATTTTTTAACATACTTATAATTTGTTGCTGTACTTGTGTAGGTACCAAAGGAGCAACTGCTGGTGTCTATTCCTCTCTTAATCGATCATCTCCAAGCAGAAAGTATTGTAGTCCATACCTACGCAGCCCATGCTCTTGAAAGACTGTTTACCATGAGAGGGACAAATAATGCTACCCTGTAAGTTTTCAAGCAGAAATAAATTCATTGCTAATAGATTTTGTGTATTAAGGATGAGAAAGACCTGTAGGAGATCCTTTGTGTCCTATATTGTGGTATTGTATAAGGCTTGAAGTTTGTGACTCTCTCTTATCATTAAAGAGCTGTGTTTCACTTAACAGCATTACAGCTGCAGAAATGGCACCATTTGTAGAAGTGCTGTTAACAAACCTTTTCAAAGCTCTGACGCTTCCTGGCTCATCTGAAAATGAATACATTATGAAAGGTAAATGCCTAATGAGTCCTGCAATATAAGAATAACGTGGTTAATTTGAGGTAAAGGCTTACAGTTACAGGTTCCTGACATTTTTATTTGCAAAACCTGTTTTATGCAAATGTGTTGAAGAGTGCAGTTACTTATCAGGCTGTAACACGTCATCTTCAACTAAATTTGTGCTACCAAAGAGAAACACTAAACATAATGGTACTAAGTTATTTTTCAAATGGTAGGCTTGTAGTCAGGTTAGTGTCAGCGGAAGATCTGAGCACTCTGGTTATGGGGAGGACATGTGGTCATGGCTAGTGAAAGGATAGATCTGATCATGGCTAAGGGGATGCTGAGATCTGAGACTTGCCAGGACAAGTGATGGCCTCTGTAAGGTTACTTGATCTCCTCTGTTCATCTCTAGAATGAGAATAAGGAGGCTTTGTTTTATGCTTTGTCGTGATTATAGATTGAATGTTCTTGCAGCAGGTGCTCTTTGTACCTAATTCCTTTTTGGGATCCTATTTTAACAGTAAAAGGTAAAGGATTTAGGCATATGTTGAGTGGCAGAAATGTATTTTGTCTTCAGAAGTTAAAATTTTCCATTTATTTGCAGCCATCATGAGGAGTTTTTCTCTGCTCCAGGAGTCCATAATTCCATACATCCCTTCTGTCATCACACAGCTCACACAGAAACTGCTGGCTGTCAGTAAGGTAAAGAAACAGAGCTACAGGGTTACCTTTTACCTTTTAGAGCAGCCTTGCTGAGGACTTAAGTCCTATTGGTGGTGTTCTGTTAGAATACTCTAAACAGTTAAATATTTTCTGATGCAACTAACTTGAAACAGCATTCCAATGAGGTACTGCCTTCCTTTTAGGACATATTCTAAGATCATTCTTCCTGCTCTCATCTGAAATTTAGAAGCAGTTTATGAACTCTTTCTGTAATGCTAGTTTGTTGTAGTATAAATGCTTGCTTGTGCAGAGGCCACCAGTACAATAATCTGGTTTTATCAGAACTCCTGTATTCTTTGCCCATGAAACTTCTGAAGCTAATAGTAATTGGCATTGAAATGTGGGATTGAATTAAATAAATTACCCTTATGCTTTTGGTGGGTAAATTTCTCTTAATTTTTTATTTAGACTTGCCAAATTCTTAACCATTGACAATAGGGAATGCCTTAGAATACCTTCATTGGTTGTCCAGAAAGCTACTTCTCTGTATAGTTTAAACTCAGCTGCAGCTTATAAGAAGTATTCAATAGAGAATTGACTGGACAATTGAAAGATTGAAAAATAACCTTTTTCTGGTTTTTGTTCTGTGGTATTTTAACTGTGTGGTAGCTTATATAGAGCTTCTGAAAAACGCTTCCTACAAAAAAAACGCAACCACTCTTTTATACCTTAGAGCTCTTTATGTTTGCTTTTATCCATGGAATTAATTTCATAAGCACATTAATACATAAGTTAAAGTGTCCCTCGTCTGAAAAGCTACTTTAGTCTTCAGTTGAAATAAAAAATATATTTAGCAAAATAAGTGACCTGTCTGTGAGTTTGGGTTGATGTATCTGTTTATTACTTGTTTTCAGAATCCCAGCAAACCTCACTTTAACCATTATATGTTTGAGTCGATCTGCTTGTCGATCAGGATAACGTGCAAGGCAAACCCAGAGGCAGTAGGGAGTTTTGAGGAGGCTTTGTTCCTGGTGTTCACAGAGATCCTGCAGAACGATGTGCAAGGTGAGGACACTCAGGGAGTGCCTGTGCTCTCTCCACTGGGGTTGGCTTCTAGGATTTACCTTATGGCAGGTTTATTGTAGCACAGGAAATTCAAGGGGAGAAACAACATTTTCACAGTCTGAAGTGTTTAGGTTGTTCCATAGGGTACATCAACAGCATTCACTTATTTTAAATTGCATTCTTAAAATATCTACCAATCACTACTCCAAAGCCTCTTAATATTACTCTTAATTCTATTGCCTTTTTTCTAGTAGTTTGTTTTTTTATGTTCTTAAACAGTAACAGGTAGAGGAAATAGAAAGTTTATAGATGCAATGCATGCTAATTTTTTGAATAATTACATTTAGGAAGGTATGTTTCTTCAGAGTTTTATTATTGAAATCTTTGTGATAATATCAAAATTGTGGGTTCAATCCATAGATATGTGGTTTCTGGGAATTGACAGTGACTGTGTTGTCTGACTTTGTAAATGGCATCATTTCTCTTCCAGAGTTCATTCCCTATGTGTTTCAAGTGATGTCACTACTTCTAGAAATGCATAAAAATGAAATCCCATCATCCTACATGGCCTTGTTTCCCCATCTGCTCCAGCCAGTTCTCTGGGAAAGGACAGGAAACATTCCCCCTCTGGTCAGGCTCCTGCAGGCTTACCTGGAGCGGGGCGCCAGCACCATCGCCAGCGCTGCCGCCGACAAAATCGTGAGTGCCGAGGGCAGGGTCGGGCTGTGGGCCTGGGGACATGGGCACCTGAGCTTCCAGACTGTGAGGAGCTCCAGCAAACAGCTGGGTTGTGCACAGTTTGGTGCTTACATACAAAGACAGACTAATACTGTCAATGTAAATTTTTGGGTGCTTTTCTATTACATGGATAAGATGAATTCTAGGCTATTAGGTTTTTGTCAGCCAAGATGAACAATTTCTGCTCTTAGTTCTTGAAAGCAGGTAAATTCCCACAGCTTTCCTGTCTTGTTTGCCTCATCGTGTGTGTAATGAGAACTTTCAGGTTCTGTTCAGAACAGTATTGAGAAGAGTGAGTGGGAAGAAGCCAACATGTATCTTCCTTGGCCTGAACCATAGAAACTGAATCCTGGCTTAGGTTATGAAGCCTTTTGCCTTGGTGCATGCCTTAGATGGTAATGGCCAATTTTCTGGTAGGGTCACATATGGAAAACTGTTGTCTAGGATTTTATATCTGCTTTTCTTGCAGCCTGGATTGCTAGGTGTGTTCCAGAAGTTGATTGCCTCTAAAGCTAATGATCATCAAGGGTTCTATCTTCTCAACAGTATTATTGAGCATATGCCTCCGTGAGTATGCGCTGAAATTACATTTAAAGCTAACTTCTGTAGACTTTAATTTTGAAGTGTATAAACACGCTAAATGCTAACTTTTAACAACTGAAAACATCACATTTTTCAGTCAAATAGATTTGAACAATTCTATATATGTTTTCTGTGAAGTGACATCAGTAAAATCCTAGTGTGAATTGAATACCTATCCTTTTAAATTTCCAGTGAATCAGTTGACCAGTACAGGAAACAGATCTTCATTCTGCTATTCCAAAGACTTCAAAATTCCAAAACAACAAAATTTATCAAAAGTAAGTTTCTTGCTCTATGGAAAGCTCAGGTGACAGCAGCAGTTCAGAGGTGCACAACAAGTGTCCTGTTGTGCCCTGGAGGGACAGTGGTGACTCCTAGGACTTGCTCCAAATTCTTTGTCATCAAGAGGGGTGTATGGGGCAGTCACCATAGCAGGTGACACTTTAATGAAATTCAGGGAATGGAATTAAAATAATGAACAAGACTTGTTTTTTTCTCTTCCTTTCCTAGTGTATGATGTCATTATTGAAAATGTCTCCATTTAATCTCCAACCAATAGCAGCAAATTTTCCCTCTGGTGCAGCACAGCAATCTGACCACACGTCCTGTAGTTACCTCTAGTTGTGTGTTAGGGCTGTGAAGTGTTCCATGCTTGTGTCATTTTGGCCTTAGTATGACTAAATTTATTGATAAGGTTTTATGTTGAACTGGCAAAATTGTGACAGATTATTGCAATACATAATCTGATTAATAATCCTGTCACAATAAGATTGTCAGACTTATTAAATTATTTTAATGATACTATCACTACCCAAATTTCACAGTGTCCGTAACTTAACCCTATAAAATCCTATGAGTGTCACCTGATAGGAACAAAAATGATAGAGTTGCTTATAATGGTCTTCCACAAATAAAGTGGAAGTGGTGCTTTTAATATACTGCACCTGTGCAAAGGGGCTCATACCTCAGTCTGTATTGTGTGAAGTTTTCCGCTAAAAGTAGAGTTTTTTGAAGAGTTTCTTTGGTTCTTGATCTGAAAAAAAATTGCAAATGACTTTTCTAATGTCTTTTTGTAACTGCTATAAGGGGAAAAAGGAATAACTCTTGTGTACACCTTGTTTTTTTGTTGTGGTATGTGAAAAGATCAGTTTTTATGCAAATTTCCAGGCAGCAAGTTAATGTACTTCACTAAACTGAATGCTTATAAAGACTGCAATTTCTGTCCCCTTGGAAATCTTGGAATGTATTTTTTTGCTGACTCTAAAGCTATTCTTTTGTTTTCCTGTTAAGTTTTACTTTGATTTTTTTCTTGTTACAGGTTTCCTTGTCTTCATTAACTTGTATTGTGTAAGATATGGGGCATTAGCTCTGCAAGAAATATTTGACAGCATACAGCCAAAGTTAGTATGGTTTTTTTGTTTGGGTTATATTTAATACTGCTGTGTTATTTTTATCTTTTGAAGTAAGGAAGAGTTGTCTGTTTAGCTAGAATGTCAGAGTACATTAGTCACTAATTTGACTGGCTAAATGTTTCTCTTAATGCGGTTCATTTATTTGTCTAGAAAATCTTTTTTTCTGAATTTCTGACCACAGTTCCTTGCTGATAGTTCAAGTTATAATCTAAGAAGATTATAAAAAGGAAAGATTGATTTTTTTAGTTGTTGTCCTTAGTGAAAAGTTTGTATGTTCAAATGTTTACTGCAACAGGGCAGCATCCTAACAAATTACCTAGTTGTTTCTCTTCTCTAGTGATTCACATTGTTTCTGATTCTCTTTTGTCACCATAAGGCTAATGAGTCTTTCTAATACTTCTTCTCTCAATGCCTCCATAGGATGTTTGGAATGGTGTTGGAGAAAATTATAATTCCAGAAATCCAGAAAGTGTCTGGACAAGTTGAAAAGAAAATCTGTGCTGTTGGCATTACAAAAATCTTAACAGAATGTCCTCCCATGATGGACACTGAGTACACCAAACTGTGGTAGGTATCACACTTCTTCAGATTGTGCTGGTGAGGCTGTTTGAGTTATTGAAAATGGGAGCTCAGACCAAAATACATCTTTCTTGGAAACTCCATTGTGATCTCCTCAGAGCCACAAGGCTGTTTTCAGCCTTTCATCCTGCTTCTGTTTCTCAACAAATGAAACTGTATTTTCAAAGAGGATGACAGAGCTGGTTTGAGATGTTTTTGATGGAGGCAGCACGGATTTGGCTAGCTGGACCTGCATTTAGGGAAATACACTGCTTTCCTCCAGCTTGTATTCTTTCTGAAAAGCTAGCCCCAGTTTTGACGTACAGCTCTTCTGGTCAGGAGAGCTGAGCATATTCGTAATGTGGCAGAGAAACTGTAATATCTTAGCTTGAGAGTGGAATTCTGGGGAGAGCTACCAGGGACGTTTGGTTGTCAGCCAGTCCAGCAGTCAAGCATGCCCAGTAATTTGAATTTAGTGGCAATCACTGGATCCCAGACTAGATCCCAAACTAGAACTTTTAAAGTACACAGAGGAAAGTTGTGATCTGGAAAATCATGGCTCTTTTCAGATATGTTTAATGACAATTTGACCTGATAAATACATACATTGCTCATGCTGTTGATAGGTGTACTCACATTATGCCTGTAAAATATTGAGACCCACAACTCTCCTGGTCCAGCATGCCTTGGGCATTTACAATTTCAGTAGCCAAGCAAGTACCTGCAAAGGCTAAATTATAAGGTGTTCCAAATAACTTGAGGGTCCTTGTAAAATAGCCCGTGCTAACATATTCTGAGCACTCCAGTTTTGCCCTCCCCTCTCTGCTCCCAGGATTCCTTTGCTGCAGGCCCTCATTGGCCTCTTTGAGCTACCGGAGGATGACACAATCCCTGACGAGGAGCACTTCATTGACATAGAAGATACTCCAGGCTATCAGACTGCCTTCTCCCAGCTGGCCTTTGCTGGGAAGAAAGAGCACGATCCTGTAGGACAAATGGTGAACAATCCTAGAATCCACCTGGCACAGTCTCTGCACAAACTGTCCACGGCGTGTCCGGGCAGGGTAGGTGACTTGTGCACTTGCTGCTGATGCTGCATTCTACAGAGGATGGGTCTCTCTGCTAAAGCTGGATAATCTGCAAAGTGAAGTAGGTCTTAACTACCATGCAAGATAGTGCTGTGTCCAATTCTTCATTGGAATAGAGCTTTTGTAAGGTTTTTCCTTAGGAGCCTTAGAAAGGCTTTATTTTCACAGCATGTAATTTTGCAATAAGCTTAAATATGCCATTTTAAAAAGAAAATTTACACACTTGATGGCCTATAGCTAATATGTGTCTCGAGTTTGGTTGCATGCACTTGCTGAATTCAGGTAGCTCATACAAAATTAGACAAGGTGAGTGTACAGTGAACTCTTTTAGCCCATAGCATGTTTGTGTTCCCCTCGATTTTGGTAAGTAAAGATTGCCTGCTGCTTTCCCCGTGGGTAACTGCGGCTCTGAGTCTGGCTTTGTGCTGTGAGTGACTGCAGGAGGCAGCAGGGGCTTCGTGTTCCACTCATGACACCTCTGCTCCACCTGTGCCCAGGTCCTGTCCATGCTGAGCACCAGCCTGAACGCAGAAGCGCTGCAGTACCTCCAGGGATACCTCCAAGCTGCGAGTGTGAGTCTGCTCTGAGCTGCAGAGGCTCCTCAGCAAGACAGAACCTGCTTTCTTACGCAGAGGGTGGACACTGACTGTTCTATAGCAGAGCCCAGACAACATGAAAAAGCTGCTTGAAATTGTATTGCAGATTCCATCTTGTAAAAGATGAGTGTGGCTTTAAGCTGAAACTGAAGAATTTGATGGTTTGTGTACTCATAGATAAAGGTGGCTAATTTCCATTCCCAGTTTAATTTCAAAGGGAATAGTCATAGCAGTTTGTTATGGGATTGATTTGAAATCTGCAGTGTTTGGATAATATTTGGAAATGTGTGGAGAGCCCTGGCTGTAGAAACTCACTTCAGTGACTAAAATTCCTTTTCATTTTAATGTTGTCCTTTGTATTTCTTTTGTCTTTCCTTAAACTTTATCTGAATTGTGAATAAATAAGTACTTGTTTAAAATGCTTGTCATTGTGCACTTACTGTTTCAGAAAACTATAGCTCTTTTAAAAAAAGATGTTTTACACTTAAGATAGAATATGAAATAGTGGGACTGTGAGGGTTTTTCTTTACACAATAGCTGAAGTGCACTGTAGGATCATGGAGAGCAAACCTACAACTCTGGGAGAAGAGCAGCGCCGTTGTCACTGGCTGCAGGAGGCTCAGATGCTGTCAGGACCTGCACGGAGGGCAGGTGCTGTTCCTGGGAGCGGGATCAGGCTCCAGGGGGGTTTTCCTGTCCTGAGAGTGGCATCGCGTGAGGGCTGCATAGCCTTGGAGTACTTTTCTTTCAGCCGCGTTTTGAACTGTGAGATTTTGTTAAATGCTCCTCCCGCTCCCTCCTGCTGCGGGACCGCCCCGGCGGCGGCTGCGCCCGCTGGTGCCGCCTTTCCTTCGCGGGGGCGCGGCGGCGAGGAGACCGCTCGCGTTGGATGGAGTGGCCCGCATTGGATGGAGTGTGGCCCCACTGGATGGAGTGTGGCCCGCGTTTGGTGGAGAGCGGCCCGCGTTAGGTGCCGTGTGCAGTGTGCCCGCTTTCCGTGCAGGGCCGGGCCGGGCCGGGCGGGGCCGGAAGCGGTGGCGAACGCAGCCGCACCGCGCGGCCCGGTCCCGCGCGGGGCACGCCGGGAGCTGTAGTTTCTCGCTCTGCGTCTCCCGCGGAGCACGCCGGGGCTCGTAGTCGCGGCGGAGGAGGCGGGGCTCCCGGCAGGGCTGCGCGCCCATTGGCCAGGGGCGCGGCGAGGGGCGGTGTCTCGGGGGCTGGCTCGGTGCCCATTGGCCGCGCGGAGGCCCCGCCCCGCGCGGTGCCGTCAGTTCCGGCGGGCCGCGCCGCCCCGCTCATTCTCTTTGGTGTTTGCCCTGTGCCGCCGGTCCCGGCCCATGGACTGAGCCCCGCCGCTGCCGCCGGCCCATGGACTGAGCCCCGCCCCGGCCGGAGCCGCGCCCCGCGCAGGTGAGGGCCGCGGGGGGCCCGGGCCCGGCGGGGCCGCGGGCGGGGGGCGGCGGGGCCTGGCGGGCCGGGCCGGGCCCGCGGGGAGGGGGCGGCCGGAGCCCCCCGCCCGCTCGGGGCTCGCCCTGTGCCGCTCCCGGCCCGGGGCTCATCCCGTGCGGCCGGACCGTGCCGCTCCCGCGGCGGCGGGGCCGGGAGTCCGCCCCGGCGGCCAGCGGGACCGGAGCGCCGCGGGCCGGCACCGGCACCGGCGGCCCGACCCGCGGGGGAAATGTCAGAGCCGCCCCGGGCGGGCCGTGACTGCGACTCCGGGCGTCCCGGAGCGGCGGCGCGTACCGGGGCCACCGCTGCACGCCGCTCCCGGCGCGGCTCCCGGGGCAGCGCAGCCCGGTCGGCTCCCGGCCCCGGGGCCGCGGCCGTGCCCGCCGAGAGCCCGCAGCCAGCGGCGTCCGGGCCGAGCCGTCCGGGGGGACTGCGGGCGCAGCGCAGGGGACGGCCGCGGGGACAGCGCCGGCCCCTCCCGGCGCGGCCGAGCGGGCAGCCCCGGCGTTCCTGCAGTCCCGGCGCTGCTGCACGTTCCCTTTCCCTGGTCCCGAGCAGAACGCTGCTGCAGGATCCCTTCTCCCGTTTCCGAGCAGAACGCTTTTCCGTGCCGTGCACAGCAACAGGTTCTGTCCGGGGCTGGCCCCTGCTCGCAGTCTGTCCCGGCGGTGCAGCTCCGGGCGCTCCGTCCCGGGATGCTGCCCTGCAGTGCCAGAGCCCTTGCTGCGTGCTCCTGGCGTTCCTTTGTGGGCAGGTTTAGGGCAAACCCGGGAGGAACATCCTTTGCAATGTCAGGGAAGCCTAGGTGTATAAACATATATATACACACACATATTGGTGAACTTAAATACCTGAATGAAGTCTATGCTCTGCTTTTGGAATGGTATATTTATAAAATCTTGTTTCCTCTAACTGGAACGTGCAAGTGTACTGCACAGTTCCCTTGCTCAAACTGGAGGCAATGTTTTGGGTTTGTTTTTTTAATACTAGTGGTCGTGAGAATTTGAGTTTTGATTATGCAGCTGTGGCTGCAATATAATAAAGTGATTTCTGGTTTGTCTGTTGATTATTTCATACATGCAACAAATGTGTGTTCTGACTTTTACAGAGATTCACTCAAGGTCTCTCACATCTTGATGAGAATATAAAAAGCCCAGAGGCTGAGATTTTTACTATATTTTCTATTTTTTGAAGTTGTATCACAAACTTATTTCCAAAGTGTTCTAAAAGGATCCATGCAAGAAACAATGTCTTTTTAAGCAGCCACTCTGTTCAAGAGTTTTTCATAACATCATTTTTGCACTACCAGTACAAGTCAGTCAAAATGTGTTTTGTGGCAAAATTATTCATAGGTTGAAATAAATTTGAAGTGATATGACTGTACAAAGTCAGAGCAAAACTGGAATTGCTTTGTGCCTTTCAGACCTTCCTGAAGAACAGCAGCTTTATTTTGGAGACAAATGAACATTCCAAAAGCCCTTCTTCTGGCTCCTTTGGCCAGGGTCCTTGCCAGGGTTGGTTATTTCACTAGAGGGGCTGGAGATGCCCCAGGACACGCAGGAGATCTGGGCACGCTGGCTCTCAGCAGTGTCCGTGGGCTCTGTGAGCTGTTCTACTGCAGGGAAAAAGCCAAAATCCCTGAGCTGTTTTGTCACAACACTAACTGAGCTAGAAGTTTATTCATTGTGTTACTTCCTGGTTTATCAATTTGCTTTGTTTGGAACCATCTGGTTTATGTGTATGTTTGGTAATTCTCTCTTTTCATTCAGCTTTTACTTTCCAATTTCAGCTTTTCTTCTCTTATTAATAATCCATATCTTGGCTCCTAAACTACTTTGCATAACATTCAGTGCTTGTGCCCTTACCAAAAAGAGCAACATCTCTTTCTACAGTGTTACTTTTGGGAAGGACCCTGTCTTGCAGAATTGTTGCAGAAGATTTATCTAAGAAGAAAAGATTGTTCAACCAGTATTTTACACTTTGTGCAGATAGCCTGAATTCTGTAAAATGTAGTAATTGTTCATCAATTTATAGTGAGACTTTCTAGTTGTAAATAGATGCTGTTAAACGCTGTTGCAGCAGCTTGAGAATCTTATGTTGCATGTTGCAAAGCTACCCCTAATGTGGGTTTTTCAAAGCTATTCTAGGTAACAGCATCTCAACAAATCTCCTGGAGTTTGTGGCTATTTATTTTTTGTGCTCAGAGTAGTCGATGGTTGTGTGAGGCATTTGTCCTGCTGCTCAGCTGCTGTGCCAGGTGCTGGTGGGGCAGAGCGGGGAGAGCGTGCAGGCAGGGTGGGGACGGGGGCACGGTAGCGGGCACAGGGAGGTGTCAGGGCCTGCTGAGGAGCAGCCACCTTCCGTGTGCCAGTCCTGACAGGGTGGAACTGTTCTCTCAGGGTTTAGCCTCCTGTTTGCACGCGCTTCTCGCAGCTCAGGGCAGCCTGTGGCGGGCGGTGTGAGGTGAGTGCTGCTGTCCGGCAGAGCCAGCCCCTCGTGTGCCTGGGCCAGGTGCACAGCAGTGTGAGCAGTGCTGGGAGTGTGCCCCGAGGGCCTGAGTGCGGGGCTCTGTCTGTCCCTCTGCAGAGCAGGGCTGCCAGCGCAGCCTCCTGCGTGCCTGGCATGGCCTGCAGTGGCCTGCAGGACCTGGCAGGTCCTTGCCACCGGCGGGGACCCCTCTGTCAGCAGAGCAGGGCGTGCAGTGTGACTGTCAGGAGCGCTTTTCTTGGTGCATTTTACACCCATTGCCTCTCGTTCTGTCACTTTAGCCACACAGAACAGATTGTTCTTTCCCACTCCAAAATCCTTTCAATTCCATGAACTCCTGGTTCTCAGGCCCCAGCCAGCCCTCTCCTCTTCAGAATACACATGTTCAGATCCTTTAGCGCTTTTCCATAGGTTATATTTCTCTGAAGGAAGCGTTTTGGGCTGTTCCTCCTTTGCTTCTGCCTGGAGCTGGTCCCCAGGTAGGTGCAGGGCTGCAGCTGAGGGCTCAGTGTCTGAGTGCAGAGCAGGACTGGTGCAGACCTTGCTCAGGCTGGTTCTTACTGCTGCATCTCAGGATGGGGAGGGCTTTTTCTGAAGCAGCCTGGCAGCGCCAGCTTGTGCTAGGAGGTGCTGTTGGTTGTAAGACTTCTCCACTCTGCTGGTGCCCATCAGTGGTGTCTGTGCCATGGTGACCAGCAGGCAGTGCCTGCACAGCCCCTTGGGCTTATTCTGCTGAGGTGGAGGGGTTCATTCTTGGCAGGGCTACCAGGAATGGCTGCGGGAGAAAATTCTGTTGTCTTTTTGCAGCTTGGTCTTGACCCTGCCCGCAAACATGATGCATTTCCTTGTTCTTCAGATGCTTAGCTTAGCGTCCAGAAAACCCTGTAGAAGAGAAGTTGAGCTGACTGTAATCCTCTTGTGTTCCCTCTTCACTCTCCTGTTGGTAAACACCAAGTGTGATGCCAGCCTGGTTCAGGCTCTGCGGCCTCCTTGTTTCCAGCAGGAGAACTGCTCACAGTCCTAGGAGTCAGCCTAAGAGTTTGAAATGCCTGTCTGAAGCAAATTCCAGAGCTCTGTCCTCTTCTAACCCTGATCAAGATTGGGCTCTCCCCCATTTTGTGGCTGGGAATGATGTTGCTGGCATCTGCACGCAGTTGGCTTAGGCATGGAAAAGAAGGATTAAACACTTTGTGCTATATTTGTAAGCAGAATAAAATAGGTTTTGATTTCCATTTAGAGCAGTCCGTGCAGTGGCAGGTTTCATATGCAGCACTGAAATAATTTTGTTCTAAAATGATTTTAGACTATTTGTGAGTGAAATCACTAGATTGGAAATGTAGCCAAAAGGTAGAATTTATATAATTCTCTGTGATTAATAACTACCAGAATTTCTCAGTTTGTGGCTTGCTTTTGGTTTGGCTTTGTGAATGAAGGTCTGAGTCTAATTTTGGGAGCTGATCTCTAGGACTCTTAGGAAGAAGAGCTTC